TGTCTAAATTAACCAACATAGATGGTATAATTGCAGCCTTGTTCAACATGCTATTTCATGGATAATGAAAATATTTTTATCACTAGTGAAAAATTATATTGCTTTATAGACTGCACAATATATTTATCAAATTAAATTAATGGCAAATACACTATAAGATGATTCATTTGCTTTTAAAACTAAGTATGTCATGATTATGTTTGCTCTCAGATTGTATAGATGATCAGATTGTACAGAAGATGGTTTATTTCTGTTAGTGAGATAGGTGTTAGCAGAAACTGAAAAAAAACCCCACTAAAAAAAATCAGGAACACCCAAAGTTAGTGTCATAAATCCCTCCACCTTTCTTATACCGTAGGCTCAGCTTCATGTGGTCATGTCAGATTCTATACATATTTACAGTAAAATAGGCAACAGAAATGATGAGCAAGAAGATTGCCATTTTATACTCCACCATATTTCCTAGTACCATAATCTAACAAAGAAATTAAAGCAAAACAGTGGTATAAAACAGAGAATATTTTAGAACAGAACCAAGCTATGTCTTTAAGCTGATGACAATAGAGATTTCAGAAGATCACCATGTAAATTTCCATTAGTCCTATCAGTGGTGGCACCAATTTTTAATACATCTGAATAAAAGACAATGAAGGTATTATTCAAGTACTCCTGCACAGCAATCTGCATCTTCAACGACATTCTTCTGACATGTATTCACAGCAAGAGCCAAGTACCTAATTTGAGGATTTGCAGCGAGCTTTCTAAATTATATCTATATATGATTTACTTGATCATTTGTAAGAACTGAAATCCATGCACCTTTAAGGAAAGGAAAGTGAGAAACCAAAGTAAGTGAAAATAGGCTTAAAAGACAACTGACCTTTTTCCACTTCATTCAGATTAGCAGCTTGCAGTGACAAAGACAGAAGAGACAAGAGACTTTTTACATTGTAATACAACAGCATAGCACATTAAGCTAATGCACAACTATAGCAGCAGAGAGGTTGATATAGCAAAATGAAGCAAGCTTCAGAGTCTCACCTACAGCAGAGCAAAACAAACAGAAAAGGTAAGAAGTACATGCCACTGGTGGCATAAGAAAGGTTTTACTTCTGGATCAGTTAGATCTGTGATCTAATGACTGATGAGAATGAGCAAGAGAAATGATCGTCTGTACTCTATAGAATGTACATAAAATGACCTGAAGGTTGCTAGACTGAGGTTAAAATAAAGGAGATGATAATGTTAAAAGAATAGTGAGGTTAAAGAGTGCAGGACATAGTGAGGTATTTTAAATGTTTTATTTCTCAAGGTTTCATTAGACACTCTGAGTGTCTGCTGATTCAATTTGCTTACTGTTGTTTCAGTCTCTGATCTTAAGAAAGCTCATAATATAGTGCAAATACCATTCTCTGTCTTTCCACCTGTAACTGTGGTGGTCATTGTAAAACCTAACTGAGGCTGAGAAAAATGGATTCCTGATTCTTAAGCAACGAAATAATAAGCTTTTTTTTTTTAATTGTTTGTTTTTAAAACAACACTGTGTACTTGAGAAGTGTCAATTTTCAAGGGACTGTCAGGAAAGTCAAAAAGCCACTGGTTTTGCACTGCAACATTCTTTACAACATTCTTCACAGTTTTTGTATGTATTTTCAGAGTTACTTTAATATTCTAACAAGTCCTCCACATAAAAATAAAACTTTAAAGAAGAATGATTTACGTTTCCTACCAGCGGGTTTCAGCTGACTTCTTCCTTACACAGTGCTACTGAAATGTAAAGCATATTTGCAGATAACCATTCACCCAGAAAAACATTCTGGGCTGGTGCACTTCCACATTCAGTACATATATGCTGTGACATCTTGAACACAGACAATTCAAAGTATTGCTAACAGAATTAAAAGAGAACAGGACAAGCCGACAGTGGTATTTTCCTGGCACGTATATTGTCCCAGTCTCCAGCAATTCACAGCTCAGGGACTTTCTGAGCTAGAGGTAAGTATCTTTGAATTTAAAAATCTTTTAACCTACTGAATATATAGCCTGTGTTCCTAATCATTAACCTACTTTTGCCCGGATAATACATGAATTCATTTAGTGAAAAATATCTTTCATAAAAAAAACACATGAGCAATATGCATATCTGATTTTAACCTGTTAGAACAGATACCAAAATCCAAATGTTTACAAAGTTCCTCGTGAAAATCACTCTATCCATACTGGACAGGGAATCTGTTACTTATCTTTCAAATCAGGCTATATGTCAGAGAAAAAAAATCCTATAAATAATTTGGTACCTCATACACACTTGAGACAACTGTAAGATGACTTTATATTCTGAACACTACCATTTCTAGATCCTGATGTGTCCAGACTACTGTCAGTCTAATTCTTCACACTGAAGGTTATTTAATTGTCATGCAAAATCAAGGATGATGGACTTGAAGACTCCTTGACTAGCTCAATGTTTTATATTTTCTCTTTAGAATTAATCTCAAAAATGACTTAGGATCTCACACATTGTGTCCTATCCTCAGATGCTTTGTAAGATAGATAGCATATTGTAGAACTCTGTACTGTATCCTGTGGAATGAAAAACCTGAACTTTTGCTACAACTTTTGCCCAATTTATCTATAAAATGAGTTGAGGCTCTGGTGCTGTATGTTTAAAAAAAAAAAACGTGTCTCTGTTTCTCATAAGGTGGTGAAAAAAATCTGATGAGATAGTGTAAATTCTTAATACTTTTGAAAAAACAGAACAGACAAACTTACTGATTACAAGTAGATTGTTCTGATTTATTTTAGAGCTAGTGAGAAGATTCTCACCTACTCAGATGACCTACTGACTTCAGTAGTGATTATGAGTAGGCATTGCATCTGTAAAAGCAAACCTCTTTTTCTGAAAGAATTAGCAAACAAAACCACTTGCCACGTAAACTAATAGTATTTTCCTTTTAGAATTATGCACAATTATAAAACAAATTTAAAAATACACTTTCTTGTATTTTGATTGAAGAAGCACAACTGCAATACAAACATCGAAAATGTTACCAATGTTTAAGCTCTCCTTTTTTGCTCTAACCATACAGATGTATAGAGAAACGCTACAATTGCCATTTCAATTGTAAATGTAAAATGTATATTTCAATTACAATGCTACAGAAATGCAACAGGCACATTTAATCAAAGTTTTAGGCTAGCACATATAAACAAGCCTTTGTATCCACTCCATGGATATTTAATACAAAACAGTCCCTCCCATGGCGTACTGTGAATACAGGAAGCGATTGACTCGAGCAGTTAAATGCACCTAGAACAATGTCAAAAATGAAGAAATGAATGACACAGGTAAAAAAACCTGCAAAGCTGCAGAGGAGGAGTGCACGTGCAAATGAATTGTCTACTATCTAATAGATATATGAAACCCCTTAGCATGAAGCAACTGAACAGGAATATTGGACCAATGTGAGTTTGGTTTGCTTTCTTCCAACCTACACAGTAGTGTATCTGATCACACTTTCAAAGGAGATAGCAACTGATCCCAGGGGAGCTGAAGCTTGACTCTCATACAGCTGAAATATAGGAGAAATAGCAAACACCTGTCTCTACTTATTGATGCTGTTACCTATTATTTGTTTCTAAGGCTTGAATTGTCAATTGCTCTTAGGTATTAAAGTATCATCAGTACTTGGCACAACAGTATTTTCTCTAAGCAGGAGACTATGTTTGTTCTTCCAGATGTGGACCATCCACTTATTATTAAATACCTTATTCTGGCTACTTACACTTTTAACTGGTATTGCTTTAGGTATTGCAATTTATGCTCTTTGGGGAAATTTCTACCAAACATTTACCCAGCTTAAGTACTGAATGAATACATTTATTAGATTATGAAGTTGTATTTCTTATACCTGTGTTTTATCTTCTTCACTCACCGTAGGTTTCAAGATTAGAATATTGACTTTAAATTTGAATACCCTAAGACATTTGAGCGATCCAATAGGTTGTAGAACTACTGATGGAAATATCTTGGATTAAAAAGGAGTTAGCTATGTTTTCAGTAAATGAAATTCATTCAGAATTTCACCTCTCCCAGTTTTCCAGAGCTCAAATTTAGTACTCCCTGAGGACAGTGAAAAACTCATTGGATGCACACAATAGGACTGATTAAAGATATAGGATGACTGAGTGGAGTTAATTCCCAAGTTATGGTGGATTTTACATTTTGTTTTTATGCATTTCAAATCATGGTTTTGTGAATTTAAGCTCTGTGTTCTCCTAGTGGTCAACTAGCTGACAGAAAATAGATCTGTCTAGCTAGAAAAACTATAAAACAGATCAATGTAAACAGTAGATCCTACAATAGCTCCTACTTCTTGTTCTCCAGTGTTGCTGTTCTAACTATCCTCCATTCCCACAGAGATGATGACAGCAAGAAAGAGATCCTCTGTTTCAGAAAGGGTAATACTTTGGGCTGTCTGCCAACTGACAGAAACAAATAATTAGACACTCTCTAATGATTCCTTTTTTTTTTTTTTCTTTTCTTTTCAGTGCCAGAACAGAAAGCCTAACACTCTCCACCAATGTTTCTAACGGAAGGCAGGGCAGCATCCAGGGGTGCCAAATTCAGTTTCCTACTAGCACAGACAGATCCTTTTCTGCTCTGTTAGTAACATGACGTATAAGAGCAGAATATTTTTCAGATTTCTACAGCTACAGAGGTTCTTCACTGGAGTGTCTGGGTTAGGTACACAGCAGGGAGGGACATATTTTGAATGATCTTTCAAATATCAAAACCGCTGTAATTTCCAAACTAACAAAGGAATTAATGAGTGGGCATTAAATCTACGTTTGACTACAAATCATAAAGGAGGAAAAAATGGAAGGAAACCTGGCTTTAAGTCAATTGTAGAGTAACTATTAATTCACCTACAATCTGAAAAATATTACAGTTCTGCTATGAATTCTTGAATTACCTGTACTTTCTCTTATACTCCTACCTGTATATTCAGGTGGACAAAGGCAAGTATAGTTATTAATTCCATCCACACAAGTAGAATTATTCTCACAGTCATTGTCTTCACAGTCATCAACATTTACTTCACAGTTTTCACCTTCAAATCCATCTGCACAAGTGCACCTGTAATACAGAAAACAACACTAACCACGTGGACATTTTAGCTGGGGAGACCAGACACAAGTTCTGTAATTAATAGGTACAAGAGTTCATAATCACTCTGCCATAAAGGAAAATGCTTGATGTAATGTAAAACATCATGTAATAAATATTTATTGTTCATATTTTAAATTACAGAAAAAAGGCTTCTGAATTTGTGCCTTAATCTTTAGTTTAAGGAGCTGCTTAAATTAAATCACTGAACATTCCTTTTGAAAAGTGTACTACCTTTATATTATAAGATTACATTAAATTTCTTATGGAAAGTGATTTTTTTTTTTAAGTTGAACACATGGAAAAGACTGTGGAATCAGGGATTAAAATATAACAGTAGTATTCCACTATCATTCGGTGAAATGCACCAATCAATAGAAAGCTCTGTTTAATGTTCCATGCACAATACATGCTTTAATATATAAAAGCAAAGCCTGTATAAACTGTTCAAAGCAGTATTTTTTTTGGTTTTACATGTTTATACAAAACAAATACATCAAAATAGATAGCAAATGTAAAAGATCACTCAAACATGACTACACATACATTTTCATGTAATCATCTGCACTATCTATAATTTCTGCAGCTTTGATTATACGATTGCTTTGATTTTCAAAATAAATGAAAAAGGTCCAATTCTGAGACATGACTATGTCACTTTAAATTCTAGAGGCATAGTATTAAGATGTATACACTTAATTTTTAATAGAAAACTATTTAATCTTTGGGCAGAATTTGGATTAAAATTAAGAATAATGTCATAATGAATTGCAAGATAATGAATTGTATCTTTTTGAAGTGTCATTTCTAACAAGCTTGAGGTGTAGATTATTAAATGACTAATAATTTCACATAAGAATGCTAAAGAACTTTATTTCATAATTCATGAAGTACATCTGGAGTAATTGCATTGTGTGATTAAATAACTCAAGATTAAAAATGCTCACAGCATGTTTATCCGCTGGCATAGTGAGTTGCAAATGAATCATTAATTTTCTGTTTCACTGGGATTTACATTTTATCATTTACATGCTGTCTGTTGAAGTAATACACACGACAACAGATGAATTGTGAGATTTTTTTCAGCAGGGATCTAGCTAGCTATTAATTAGCATAATGGAGTCAATACTATGTTGTCTGGACCTGATATGCCTCAACTAATCACAATCATTTGTTATTGTTTTTAACAGTTTCAAAGCTTTAGAAGCTTTCCAAGGATGGTGACATGTTCTGAAAACTTCAGGAAAAAAAAATCAAAACCAAAATCTGCCTTTGTGGTGCACTTACCAGCAAACAGAGAGAACCCAAAGATTAACACCAAAATTATTTCAGCATATAAAACTCAGTAATTTTCCACCCTGTTACTACAATTAAAAACAACCTACCAGAAACCATCTTTTTCTCCTTCTTTCAGATGACAAGTTCCGCCATGGTGGCATGGGTTACTAATGCAAGCATGAATGGGAATATCACAGTCTTGACCCTATGCAGGGAACAACAATTATAATTTAAGAAAATACAAACAATAGTGGAAGGGAGCCAAATAAAACTTAAAGGTTGTTAAGGAAAAGCTTACGTTGCAGTAAGCTTTTTCCTCTTCATTCAGTACCTACCTTGAAACCATATGGGCAAGTACATCTATAGAAGTCAACTGGATCATTGTTGCAGGTTCCATCATTTTTACATGGGTTTGATAAACAGGGGTTACATTTAGCCAGAATATTAACATCCACGGGCCCTTAAAAATACAAATTTGATAGTCAGAAACAAACAACTATTACTTTATATTTGACAGGATATATCTGCCACATTGCTTTCAATTTTAAAATTAAATTTATATTTTAGACTTTGTGGTGTTTCTATATAAATGCAATGCTGGGCTGTCCTTAGTTCTTTTGACATGACCAAATAAATTTGGGGTTGGATTTTAGGTTTAATTATCACTTTTTAAAAAGAAGCTGATCCCAAAGTGATTCCCATATCCTTATTCTCTGAAATCTCTACGGTTCTGATCCATGATTATTACCTTCCCTTTGTATTAACAAAATGAAGAATACTATTTCAGCTTTTGTCTCTCTAGGGGGTAAAAACTGCCTATGAGAAAAAGGGTTATCACAATCCCGCCCTTGATGGTGTTACTGAGAACACTATTTTAAATATATTTTTGTTTTAATTTATTTTTTATCTGCAGGATCACAGAGATGGCAAAATGTAAAATTTTACTGTAAAATTACCTGTAAATTGATTGAACATCTGTGAAATGTAATGTAGAATGCATTGTCCAAGCTATCTCACTGTAGTTAGCTCTATATTGAGCTTTGCTACCTTATGGAGTCAGCCACAGTTCTGTGCGTTACTGCATTAGTTGAGCCCACACATAACGCAAACTGTAGCATGAATCTGTGTGCAAATGAGGGCTGCAATCCATGCTTGCAGACTAGTTTCTTATATTAATGATTATAATGACAGAATTCAGAAAGTAATATTGACAAAATCTTAAGTTTCAGAAGCCAGACTTAGAGCTTTGCCCTACATAAACCTTATCCATGTTATATAAATTTTTTTTAGATACTTATTTACTTTTCTGTTGTTTGGCAATTTTAATACAACCTTTTCATGGCAAATTTTCAAGTTAGAAACCATAAATTTCTTTAATTTTTTCTTTTGTCAATCAAAGAAATCACTGGTTATTTGTAAAAATTAGAAGTGACCTGTGTATAAATAATGATTTATTTTCATACTCTTTGTGTCAGACAAAAGTTTTATTACTGTAAGAGAAAACAGGGGTGATTTGGCCAAATGCCTATTAAGAGAATGAACATAGATCCTCTACTATCTCCAGCTCAATTGCTTGATGCCATTACTGCCTCCACCTTGATTTCAGATTTCATCTATCAAAACCCTTTAGTTATGCACAGGTGATTTATACATTTTAAGGAATAACCAGTGATTTCCTCTAACTAGACACAAAACCCAGACTCCTGAGACCTGGTGGAACTGCCTGATTGCTTCATAACAGGTTTTACTCAACATGAGTCGAACTGCAAAGTTTTCCAAGTTAACGGGGCACTTTTCCTTAGATATGGGTTTTAGTTTTAAAAACTTAGATTTCTTAACTTTCTTTACATATTTTTCCTTGCAAAATTAATCTCAGATAAGTCATTGTAAATCACATGGAAGGAAGGTATGTGATTATAAGGATTCAGTAAGGGGTGTCAGACAGGGAGAGGTTGAGTTTTTTATTTATTTTTTAAAATCTGAAGTTGTTGGTATCTTTTTGTGTCACAGCCTGCAAGCAAATCCAAATAGATGAACACGGTAATCTGTTAAAGATGCTTATTGGCAAAGCCACAATCTGTATGGATCGTTGACTACTTTTGTTTTCATTACCTTATTTTGAAAGAGAAATCTATACCTGATTAAAGTTTCTGTTAGACCAACAAACAGCAGAGGTAGAAGAGTTGAAACAAACACCATAGAATTAACATCTAGAAAGTCCTACCTAGACTATTGCTGATTATTGCTAAAGCACATTGAGAGGTTCTGTGAAAAAAATAAGGCACAGACTAAAAAAAAAAAAAAATTGTAACACTGTGCTGTTGCCTGGAAGTCTATGCTTCTTTGTCTCAACTGTTTATTCTGAACACCATATCCTCTTTTCTACTTCTTATGCAATAAAATGCTAATTATTTGGCATGAATTAAAAAACATTCAGTAACTAAGGTTATTTTCCTAAATGGATTAGCAATCTAAATTTTACTTGTGAAACAGAGCCAGAAAATGGGAACCTAAGTCTCAACAGGATAGTGAACAATACTGTATCTGATTTTGTGCTGTAAGTGTTTATTTCAAACTATTATATATGTAGTATCCAATAAAAATTGACATTTTGCTTTATCATTCTTCAGTTGTAAGGTTTTTTTACTGAAGTCGAATGGAAAGGTAGTTCTGGCACCTATTTTCATTTGCACTATACCGTTCCTTTCCTCTTTCTGCTTGCAAGTGTTAGAAGACTTGTATATGAAAAAGAATTGGGTTCATAACCTATTGTTTAGTTTTTCACGTTACAGACATATATTCTTGAATAAGCCCTAACTGGAAACAAATAATAATAATAATAATAATAAAAAACAGTGTTCTTTTGTAAACAGTTAAAAACTATTTTATTGACATACGCACACACATAGCTATCTAATATTTTTGAAGAAAAACATGATTTTGAGAAAAACCCTCTCAAAATCAGCTTCTAGAGAAACCCGTTGCAAGAAAAAGTTTAAGCTCTGACTCTTTATGACTCAGGAACTCCTATTCTCTCTTGTATATGGCCTCAAAATCACTATCTACGCTGAGTCACTTATACTAAAGCTGCTAACGAAATCACTGATTTTTAGTACAATGCAGTGGAAACAATCATTACAGTTAGATAATTTTCAGACATTAAGCTCAGACTTTTAAAATAACAAAACTGTTCATACAATATGTTAAATGATATATCATGAAGAGTCAGCTGTAAATTCATCAAAGGGGAAAACAAACAGCAAACATGCGTGTCTTAGGAAAGAAGTCTGCTTGAGGTACACAAAAGGAAGGTCAGAAGGTCCATTCTTAATCAGATCACCCATTCCAGATCTACTTATAACCTTACCTGGTATCAGAAAACCACAAGGCCCTGGAATCTCTAGAAGCAGGGCATGGATGGTAAAGAGGTAAAAGTAAAAGATTGAGAATCTGTTAGAGCCCACATAAAAAAGAAAAAACCTAGAAAAACAACTGAAAGAAGAAAATACTAAGGGATGATTCCTGGAGTAAAAGAATTCATAAAATTAGAGTAAGGTACAGTGGTTTTATGAAGCTTTACAACTGAGATGAGACTTCATTTTAAAATTCTCATTTTCACTGGGAACTATTCATTATTTAAGTCATATTCAAGCACCGATTTCACTTTCAATTGAATCCAGAGATACTGATAAGAGGGAATTACACACTGGTCTTTTCCTGTAAATATATACACAATAGCAGACCATCAACAGATACATCTGAAAACAGTCCTCTCACAGCCTAAAATTTTGGTTCTAATAGGAATATAGCGTCTTCCTAGTTTCTATTCAGCAGTTCATTTTTAAGCAAAAGATAAAATTACTTATCTTTGAGAAACAGACACATAATGTGTTACAGGGCCATCATGCCATTGAAAAGCTGCTGATTTGCAATCTGTAATTATGAGCATCTTCATAGGACAGTGGCAGAAAAATTATTTTCTCTCAAAGGTATCCATAATACCAGATCTCCACTCTTGGAAGTGAAACAAATACAGTTCTTACCCTGCATGGTAATATAAAGGATGTTTTCTGATGGGCAAGAGGGAGTAGAATATACTTTCTGGACTGTATGACAGAAAATAACAATGATTGTAGGCAGGAGTGATACTGTTTTTAAAACTGTCAGAGCTGGAAAATAACCAAACAAGTCCTTCATGTCCCTGCAAATATTCTTTCAATTATATCCCTACAACAGCGCATAATAAGAACATTTCTGCAATAATGTTCAGTGGATGCTTGTAGAGAAAATGATCAGATTGGCAAATGTCCTATCTAAAATCAGACCAAGGGACGTTGCAACAGATGAGTGCCATATGCAATGAAGACTGGCATGACCTCGGAAATGTACTGCTGAAAAACTGCAAGAAGGATTTGGAGGGAGAGACAATTCATTGGCATCATACGCAACAGAATGGGTTCCAGTGGTTTTTGTTTACAGCAAAAGTTTTTGACAGAAAGCCTAAGGAGAGAACACTAAATAGGATGAACATGCACTAAAGAACAACTTTGGATGAGAAACTCTGACCAAGTCCCATTGCATTTTTAAGAAATTATGAGGGATTAAGCTCACCTTTGAAGATGCATTAACAGGTGAATAAGTCAACATAGCTTGAAGATTACCTAGACTGTGAGAATAAGTTACTTCTACAAGACTTAAGATCATATTTATCTGATGCCTTAGAAATAACTATAAGCTTAACAATGGCTTACAAGTATAAGCACACAAAAATTTTATTGATTTTTTTTTCCGATTGGGGATTTCAATGTTTCTAAATCAGGACTGTGAAAAATGAAGCTACAGCAGAAATCTTCTGTGTTTTCAAAATATTCAAGAAAGGAGAAATGGATGGAATAGAGGAAGATTAAACAGTAAAATAAACCAAATTCTCTCTCACATATGAGTAAAAAAGGTACTTTTCTAACCAAAAAAAAGTAAGGTTCAGAAAAAGAACCTAGGAATTAACAGATAATAATTTAAAGTGTGTTATAAATGCCAGCAACATTGATACCAACATGCAGATAAATACTCTTGGTCCAAACCCTGAGAAACTTCCCCACATAACAACACTTTAGAATGAGACCTCTATAGAGGTAATCACATCCCTTTATCTACTTTTTTTTATGCTTTCTTCTGAAATATCAGAGAAAACATTCTGGATTTATTGATGCAATTACATACCACTGAGATAATGCAGACTGCAAGGATTACCAATGTATATACAGTTTTTACTGTAAACAGTTCGAAGGAAAAGGACATTCTTTAGCAAAGGGAAATGTAGATGTTTAAATTGTAGTTCATGACTGAGACAGTACCAAGTAACATGTACCACTACTGAGGAATACTGTACTGCAAGTCCAAAAATTTTTTTTCCTCCATCTTCTGTTTGAAAAGAAATAGGCATTGAAGTCTAAAATAAATACATTTCCTGAAGGGAACCAATGGCTACATCCACATCCCTCAGTATGAGGAGGAATGATGACAAGGCTGTCATCAAGATGCTATAATAAATGTATTTAGAGCACACAGGACTCTTATTTCATAGCTCAACTATTTGTAAAAATTCAAAACTGACATTTCACAGAGAAAGAAAAACCAACAGTACCTTGGCAAGTAAATTTTTTAGAAGGAGTTGTGAGAAGAAGTTTATCTGCCATTTCTCCAGGACCAGCACAACGTGCAATACCAGGTTCTTTGTATTCTGATTTTACCCAGTCAGATAGCCACTGCATGTTACAATCACAATAAAGAGGATTTGCTCCAATAGCCCTATGGAAAACAGACAAACAAAAAGGGAGTAAAGTCTTAAATGGGTGCTTTAAAAAGAGAACCCAGAAAACAGATTGGCAAAAACCCTTCAAACTACAAACCTGCCCTCCTTCCATCAAATTGACCCTAAGAGCATGAAGTGTCTGGATTTGGGTTCTAAATCAAGAATTGACAGTTCTGGCAGTAAACTTGTCCAGAAATCTAGCTATTCTTAGCTGCATTATGTGTGAACTATGGAGAGCTAATATTAACTAGCTCTCTTTCACCCTTGGTATGTAATGGCCAAGATCAGCTGCATCAGCAGAATGAAACTGATACTAGGAAATTAAGTTAGGAAGAATAAAGTATTTCTTCCGAAGCAGCCAAAGCATCCCCACAGAGTTCCACCCTGATATTTTTCCTTTTCATTTTAAGGCTCCCAGGCTGGTACAAACCATCTGTTTCTAAGCTTCCAAATTTGATTTAATTATTTCCTCTTTGGAGCTCTCCCACTGAACTCACAGCTATGTGCAGAATTCTTTAAGAGGTCTCTACTGCATAAGTAAATAAAACTACATTATCCTAGCTTTGTAGTAGTTACATAATAATTACTCCATTATGAAAACAAATCCATTTCTTTAAATAAATCTGATTTTTTTAATTAAAAAAACAATTTAGCTAGAGATTTTCAGAATTAATTTCTGTAAAGGCTTTTTAAGTGTCTCTTTTCTCTGCTAGAATCTTTAAATACTCTTATAACTCTAAGAACAATGTATTTAATTTGAAGGATAGAAGCATGGTGCTATTCTATAAAGATGTACTCCTATTCCTTTTAAGGAATACAAGAATCATAGAACTTTCAACAGATAATCTTAACATGTGCACACACTGTCAAATGGCAATATTAAAACATCCTCCTTCTCCAGATGTTTCAGTACTTTTTTTTCAGATTGTTCCCTAACTTTGGATCAGTCGGTCTTCTAGAGGTACAAGAAAATCTTTGGCAAGCAAAAGACATAGAAACTACTGCTGCTGAAACACTCTTTTCTGCCACACTGAGCAGGAAGCCCTCTCTTAATTATTGCTACATACTTCCAGCTGAACACAAGAAATTATATATACTTGTTCAGTCAGGCTTAAGTCAGAGCAGTAGTAAAAATCAGACTTAGTGATCAGGAACTTCCCATGGAAGGATAAATAGCTAGAATTTGTCTATTCCATATTTGCAGGAGTAAATGCCAGCCTCAACTGAGATAACACAATTGCTCTGCTAAAATCAGAATGTTAGCAAGGATAACTGGGAGCCATTAAGAAAAAAATAACAGCAACAATAATCAAATCTATGTAAGTTTTACTGATATTTCATGCAGATAAGCTAGGTTAATAGTAGCATTTGAATGAATTACCAATGACTTACAGCTTAATCGGTATCATCAAATTTCTGAGTAATGGCAAATTAAGTGCAAATGTCCAATACTGAGCTAGAAGCAGATAATTAAGTTTTTAACAATGGCAGCTGTTCAGAAACATAAACCCCAGACACACCTAACGGCACTAGTCAACTTACTCCTCAATTGCAAGAAAGACTTAATAACTATCCATAAACACAACAAGGTTTACCGATAGGCAATTTGTTCTAATCTACGTTCCCACTGAAAATTAAAAAACAGGAAAAGTACCTCAAATGATGTTCTGAAATCAGATGCCATGTATTTAATGTCAACTTAACAGATACCAACACGGAATCATAGGATAATTTAGGACATTCTGGAGGTCACCTAGTCTCACTTCCTGCACAAAGCATGGCTCACTTCAAAGTCAGAGCAGGGTTGCTCAGGGCTTTGTCCAACTGAGCTCTGAAAATCTCCAGGGATGGAGATTCTTCTGCTTCTGTGAGCAACCTGTTCCAAAGCTGAACCACCCTCACAGTGAAGAATTTTTCAATATTCAATTTTCAATATTCAATCAAACTTACCTTGTTGTAGCTTGTGACTGTTGACTCTTACTCTTCACCGTGCACCTCTGAGAAAAATCTGTCTCCATCATTGCTGTAATCCCCTTAGAAGCTTAAAGACTATTAGGTCCCTCCTTGGCATCCCCTTCTTCAGGCTAAATAACCCCAGTTCCTTTAGCCTCTCCTCACAACTCATACGATCCAGCCACCTCTCCACCTTGCTTGCCCCTATCCTGGATTTGCTCTGGTTCACACACATCTGGTTTGTACCGGAAAAACTGATCACATATTCCAGATGTGGCCTTAGGAAGGCCAAGCAGAAGGGAGTGACCACTACCCTCAGTCACCTGGCTGCTTGCTTTCTAATTCAGCCCAAAGCATCTTTAGCCTTCGTTGCCATAAGGGCACATGGCAGACATGTTCGATTTGCTGCCCAAGAGGAAGCCCTTGATTTTTCTGCTGAGCTGCTAGGTCTCTGGCCAGTCCTCAGTGATGCATGAGCTTGTTCTGGAGCAGGCCTTTGCATATTGCCTTTGTTCAACTATATGAAATTTGCTAAATCTAACATAAAAAATACAGTTATCATCTGAATACTCACAGGTGTGATAATGCTGACAGATCATTAAAAGCTCCTTCAGGAACAACAGAAATATCATTTCCGTGTAAGGACCTTAAAGAGAAAATAAACAGAATAATATATATCTATAAAAATCAGCAGGTTAACTTTGCAAATTTTATCGTTGGTAAACAGTTTTCAGCTTTTCGCATTTTTTTTCTTCCAGTTCCTCAGTGTTTCCAGATGTTTGGGGTTTTTTTTTAAGCTCTAACTGGCAACGTTGATTGTTTTCATCCTGAATTTTCATAAGAAATTTTAATAATATAATTCTTTTTAAATTGAAAGAATAAAGGTCAGTAAAAGTAGACACACTTCTGCAAAGTACTGATTGGATTGAGGGATAGCAAATGAGTTATTATTTCTGACTTTTTCAGCAATTCCCTGAAATTCCCATTAATTATGTTCATAGGGTTTTTTTTAATCTTTCATGGATTCATGGAATATACAGGCATTGATTGTTCATTAATGTAAGTATTAAGGTTGTTGCCCTAATTTGATAGTAAAGTAAAAGAACTAAAGACCTTATTAAGCATCAATATTGGGACTAGTGCTATCTTTCTTGTAGCAACCCTGCACAAAAATATCTCTCCTTTTCTGTAAATTCATTCAGTTACATGTATATCTAAGACATACAGAATTATGGTTCTTGAAATTATCCATATGTATATAAAATAATTGACGTTATGTGAGCACACTTAAATAATACCATGCTTGAAACATTTAATCCAACTAAGCTATTAAATGGTTATAAATTTCCCAAATGGAGGCAAAAATTACATGTTCTGCTGGAGAACGTTGAGAAAGAATTTTTGTAGTGTTGTGGTTCATTTTTTTCTTAATGACAAACTGAAGCCGTAAACTCGACTTGACTGTTCTTTATTTTCCTTTGTCCAATTTTGTGCCCTTTCAACCATGTTTTTCATAGTGGTAAAATGGAAAGTTTTCTTGGAACCAAAAAGTAATTTTACTGATTTTCAATAGTAAACCATGATGTAATGGTTTTGGAAATACTCCCATATTAAATGAAACAACAAAGAAAGAAATTTATTGTTGGAATAAAAATATTCAAAATTCAACTGCAAAACCTCCTCATGTATACTGAATAATTTATGCATGCTGCATTTTTGTTAGACTTTAATGCTTGTAACAAGGAAGAAAATAACAGAAAAAAAGAAATACAGTCAAGATTATAAAGCAGAAAATAAAAAAAGTGTATGTCTGTATTTTCAATGTTGTCCAGGTCATATAACATCTTGTGCAGCATTTTGAGAGTATACTTCCCCAGAATGAAGCCATTTAGATTTTTAAGGCTACATAATTACCACTTCCAAATACTTGATAGGTTTTAAAATCTATTAACTTCCTACATATTTGCTACCTGTGGTACACAAATAAAAATTCTGGAAAATAGCGATGGTTAAAAAATAATACTTACAACAATCTAAGTGATTTCAACCCATCAAAAGTCCGTGCAGGGATACACCTTAGGCGGTTGTAACTAAGAATTCTGAAAAGATATAAAATACTGTCAGCAAGTATATCAGCCATTCAGTAAACAATGCAGAGCATGATCAAAACCAGCTTTTGCACACATAGCTAGTTAGAAAACAAGTTATTTTACAGCCTCCACAACAAGCAAGCTTTAATATCAACTAAATGCCCTTTCTTTCCAAGACAAAAAACCCACTGTAATGCTTCCAAAGAGTCATTGTTACATGTTTAAACTTACAAGGTGAGCAGCTGAGTCATGTTGCTGAAGCTCTGATTAGAAAGAGTGCTGATTCTGTTGTTACTTAAATCTCTATAAAAAATAAATTCAGAAATTCAGATCTTAAAATGACTGCCCCAGTCCTGAAACACTGTAAGTTAAACTGACAGACACATTATTTTTATTAGTAGAAGTAGTATCATCATTGGTGACAATATTTAAAGCAGCACATATTTTTATTTTCACATGCCATATACAAGCCCAGCAAGCATTTAGCTTGATCAATGAAAAGCACTTTCATTTCAACACAGATGAAAAAGCAGCGCAATGCATTCTTATACAACCGCAATGTCCATCATGCTACTGAGTTAATAATACGATCCTACATGAACCCAAGTATTGAAATTAAAGTGATGTTTTAAAGTGGAAATCATTCCAGTCATGTCCCTAATGACACCTGAGTAAATATCATCTAATACTCTACTTAACACTTACATGCTGAAGACATCAAAGCCCAGAGCTATTATTATAACGAACACTATCTAAGATTTATAGAGAAAGCCTTAACATCTTTCTTGTCGTTCAATATTCTAATGAATAAAATCTTAAGCATAAGTATGATGGAAGCTGGAGTGGTATGCTGGTAGCTTCAAAGATATTAGCTTCAAAGAAGCTTTGAAGAAGCTATATTAAATGTGAATACTGCTTGTTCTTTATTCTCATATTGTGCTTTAGGTTTCATTTTATGTTGACTATTTCACTATTGTTTACTGTGTTTTGTGGTGAAATACAGCATTTGTTTCTGAGGGGACCTTGATATTTTGAGTACTGTTGAATAGCTATGCAATATACATATTTCTCCCCTTGAAATTTCATGAAAGCATGTAAGACAATTGATTCATAATAATAAACATATTAGGCAAGTGTAACAGAGCAATCTATTCAAAAAAGAAGGACAAATTTAGAAATAAACAATTTTCCTTCTTAATCTGGAACTCTGGAGACTCATATCTAATTCCTTGTTTGGTGACGGAACTATACATAGTGTTTTGGTTTTCCAAACAGCTGAGGAACATCTCAACTTTGTAACAGCTGTATGAAGATACTTTCAGAAGAGGTTACAGTAATGTGCCCCACAGGTCTGATAAATAGACTGTTAACACTCATCTTGTTTGCATTTTATTTACTGTTCATCGATCATTTATTGTATTACATTTGTCTGCTAAATTGTTTGTGTGTATTTTCTGATTAGGAGGTAAAGTTATACAATTTCTGGCTGTGTTTGTCAAAACAGACCAGGAGTACCTAATCTCTGTGATGGAAGCCTTGTCACTATGACGCTAATAAACCTCATCTCTAGACATACATCCAGCCTCCACTGACACTGTTACTGCACACAGTACAATCTATATGCTCGCCTCTTGTACTGAGGTTCCAAAGTTTCTATTTTCTGTGTGCTGCAAGTTAGGTTTTGCATAACTTCTCTACACAATCCACAAAGATTTCCAATAGGTTCTACCCTGTATACGTTTGAGAATACTGTAAGGGTTTTTTCCCTGATGTTATTTGCAAAATACAACAAGTTTTGGAAACCTGTTTTTTCTAAATTTGTGACCGTGACCACTTTTGTCTAGCATGAGGTAAATACAGGAAATCAAGTTCTTGTTTTTGAATGTCTAACCATTTTCAATTTTTGCAGCAAAGCTCTAAACCCAGTCAAAAAGAAATTTAAGGGATTTTGTTACTCCCCTCCACTTTTTATTCTGATTATAACGAAACCACAAACTACTTTCAGAATGTTACACAGTTCAACCTCAGCTGGTATAAATTTTTATAGTCCTAACAAAGGCCATGGAATGACAGCCATTTACATCAACAGTCTTCCTGTTTCTCTCACTGTACTCTTACAAGGTACAGAAATTATATTCAAATCACTCATGAAGTAGAGGTAATAAATTTTAGAGCAGCTAGTGATTTGCCTCAAAGCACAGAGTGACTCAGCAATAGAGTTGGGAGTAAGGCATTCTAGACAAGCTCTCTTCTTGAGTCATTAAACCACATCTTGTGGGAGAAACAGAAGGGGTTATGTTCACATGTTACGACAGCAGTATGTGCTATTCCTATGTGAAGCATACCACGGAGTGAAGCATATCACAGAATGTTTCTTTTGCAAATGAAATAACTCTAGTGCCTTTATGGAGCTGTGTAACAAAATGCTGTACTACCCTGACACATTCTGTAAAATTTTACATCTCTTTTCAGGTTAACTATAATTTTTGCTTATTTACTTTGTGATGTAGTCACTGGAATGAAATATCCGTGTTCATAAAACATGACAGAGTATATTATATGTAGGATGTGATAAGTAGAATGAAATATCCTTCATTATAAAATGTGGTTGGGTATTATATTTGCTAAAAGGTATGATAGATTTTATGGGGTTTTTTTCTTATAACTAAAACCTTATATAATGAAGTAGAGGTTTTTGGTTTGGGTTGGGTTTTTTTATTCCAGTAGAGAATTTTGGTCTAAAACTACTTACATGAGTGTTAAATGCTTGTAGTTGGAAAGCTCTTTTGGAACAAGGGTAAACTGATTTCCATCCAAATAACTAAAATAGAAAAATAAAACATAGAACATTTTTTTTTCATTAAAACAGTAGCATCTACATCTACTAATCTTAGAATCCAATAGTAAAGTTAATAACAAATGAATACATAGTATGTCCATTTTATAAGAAACCTTGCTTATAAATTTTAGTTTTTAGAGACACAACTGGGGAACTGCAGCCCAAGATGCAAATGCTATTGTATCAGATATTATGAATATTATGAAGTAACAGTAATAGAAACCAAGTGTCACACAGTACTTTCTATTATTGCATAAAGATTTTGCCAAATGAGGTCTTTATCATCATCTCCATTTCACACACACAAACAAAAAGTAAATCTGACTTCTGCAAGTCACATTAGGTGTGGATTCTGAGCTATCGTAAATAGAAACAGACCCTGATACTGCAGAGGTAGTTCTTGAGAGCAGAAACAGCAATGGCTGGTCCCATCTCTAACAGCAAATTCATTTGTCATGCCTGCAGTTCAGGTCACCTTCCCTACTTTCTCCCTGTATATCTCATGACATATCAGGCATGACATACTACAAGCCTGTTCCTATGGAGTATGTTAGGGACTAAAGATGGTAATCAATTACCCTTCACTAGAAAAGTTAGGGTTTTCTTCTTCCCTCTTTGTAGGTTTACAGCTCCTGTATTATATTGCTTGGTCTTCTTTCATGCTCATAATTCTCAGTAACACACTTGTTCACCCTTAGTTACAGGTGCAGAGCCATCAAGCTGTAACGGTACCTTAGTTACAGGCAAGGAAGGTAACAAGTCTTGCCTAAAAAAGCTTCCAGCGTGCAGCCCATCATTACAAAGTGCAAGTGGAGAGGATCTTCATGTAACCAAGGCAAGTAGTTTAGAGAGCTAAGAAGTGCAGAATTTACCTGATTCTCTGAAATGGAAATGGAAATGAAATGGACAGTGGCAGGAAGATTAATGGTCTTTAGTTTCTCAACTGGGGCAAATGACTTGCTGATGGTGGTTATTACTTGTGTCTCCTGGAACCCAAGTAAAAACTACACCCTCATTATCCCTATACAAAGAAGATATTTTAGCCATCCAAATGCTTGGAACACACTTGATTTAAGAGCAGCCTCTGATAAAGACATTCTTAGATTAATTTTTGAGCTTAATGGTTTTAAGTATGCTGCAGCATCTTTCAGAACTTTTGTCTTGACTAAATGGATGGGCTGAAATACAGTTAAACTTAATGAAATAACTATCTACATCTAATCAGAAAGCTTTTTCTTTCTTTTTTTTTTTTTTTTTTTTTTAATCCCCTTGGACTGTGCCTTCCTTAGGGCTGCATGCCAAAACCAATCATCTCAACAAGTTTTATGCTTACACTATGTTATAATAGCATTCCATAAATGGTGGTGAATGGAGCATGGGCTCATATACTTAATTATTAAAAAAGAAACCAACAACATTTAAACTTTTTGAAGGAGAAAGTATTCTGAGAAAATTCTTTTATCAACAGATAAATTAAGATATGTTGCTTTAGCTTCATTAGAACTGAAGTACTACAAGTATCCACTTGGCTGGTAAAAATTCCTCCTTGTTCAAATGAAGCAACTATTAAGATATTTTATAAAACACATGAAGAGTACATCTTGGAAGGGTTGTGCATGCTAATGAAGAAGACGAATCAATCAGTATGCAACTGCTAGCAGGAACCACCTCCATTATCCTTTTGAAAAATATGCTAAATTGCATGCTTAGACACTAATTAAAGCATACAAAATTGTACACAAATGAGTTTTCAGTCACAGTCAGGGTTCCACTTGCACTTCCAAAAGTATCTCTCTTTAGCTGTTTAATTTTACATTGCATTGAAGCCCCTACATCGCCAAATTGTATTTATTAGGCCAGACTATATTTAATTAAGTCATCTTCTATTTGAGAAAAAAACCCAACAAAACAACACCAAACCCTATTGAAATAAGTTTAGGTTTATACAGTGGTGTACTAGTTTGAGTTCTTAATAATTTCTCTTCATTAATGACTAAAGTATTTTGGATGCTATTAAGTACCAAACTAGAGGTGGACGTTTCAGACTATTCTATATAATACCAAGTAAAACAATAAAACTGTTTTAGTAAGATACACAGTTATGTCTTCTGAAAAAGCACTACATTAATCAGTCATTATGAAGCATTAAGAATTTAATATTAGATACTTGCCATATGTAACATAAATCCAACTTTTTTTCTTGTCAAGAATTTCTATTTCTTTCAATCTTATGACCTATCTGATCAAGATGCAAACCAGATCATTAACCCAATTTTTGGGTTGATATTTTCTCCTTCATAATGCATAAAAATTGACTCCTCTAGTCTTATGAGTAGCATATTCAGTTATTATCTTCAACCAATACATAAGGTAGCAAGCTCCTTTTTGTATCAATGTCACTGTCCAGGTGCATATTCAAATTATATTTTTTCATAAAATGCAATCTTTACAAATTTTCTCACATAAAAACATATCAACAGATTAATAAAATATCCCAGATTGTAAAAGACTACCTATATGAACAGTAAGACTTTCTATTAAAACCAACCTTTCTGAAATACCACAAAACTATGTTTATTACGAAAACATGCAAACACATTACTAGATTGTTTTCTTTTGGCTTTTTCATGTAATTTAACTTAATTCCTTCCTAAACAGTGACGATAGATTAATCAGATTCACTGTTGCCCATAATTTAACCCATTGTAATGTGATATCCACATTCAGTTACATGATCGTTCAGTGTTGGGGATATAAATGCTAAGAGTGATTATGATTTTATATACATGTATTTTCAAAGCTTTTCAGTAACAGATAGTTCTTAGAGAGTTTTGGGACTTACAGAGCATTGCTAATTCAAACTTAACTTCAAATTTCTCAAGATACTGGGCAAGTCTTCATATCTATAAAGTTGTATATTAATACATTTCAACTGATCTACTGAATCTAATTCTGAATTTTTTTCTCCCCTCATTCTTGAACCTAACAATATAAATCTGACATTGATTTTCATGAAAGGGAAAAAAGTGAGGTGTGCCACTTACAGTTCAGTTACATCTTTTGGGATGCCTTTAGGCAAAGCTTTTAGGCCTTTGTTGCTGCAGCGAACTACTGTGTCTAGACAAGTACATTCTGCAGGACAGCGGGACAGTGGAGAGCAGCTATTGTCATCATTTCCTGGGTAATAAAAACAAACAGATGCTAAGCTTGCTATACAAATGCAGTAATGTCCCACCTGGAATTCCTATAGGCAAACATGGTATTTCTACACTGAAAATCGAGGAACTAATAATTGACAAACTAATAACACAATAAATGGAAGAATGTTTGAGAGAGATGTAAGACAGCAGACATCTTTTTTTTTAAGTGTTGAGGGAATTCTGACATTCAGGAAGTCACAAACTAAGCAAAACGGCATGTTATTTGATCAAGTAACCTGAAAGAGCGCTTGATTCAAGCATTGGCATTTGAAAATACTCTCATCTGAACTGCAACATTTGATCAATTTATTTAATTTTCATATTATCTCTAAATTATGATTTACAGTACTGAACATACACGAGAAAAACTTTTGAAAACATACATACAATAGCCATGTGTTTGCTGATCATCCAAAAATGGATGAAGGATTTTTAAACTGATGTAGAAACTGATCATGAAGCACAGACGAAGTTATTTAAAGCGTAACACTTTGGGATCTGTGGGAACCGTGGAGCTATACATATGAAAGCTGAAATTATAAAAAGTTCAAATATGAATTTTCTTACCATCATCACAAGTAAAATCCTGAATTGCCACATCCTGGATGGGAATCTCTTTGAGGAAGTAGGGTTTTTGGCAGCGAGGGTTCCCCGTCACAATGCGTTTCTTCCTTAGCCAGTCTCCGAGCCACGCAAGATGGCAGTTGCAGTTGAAGGGATTGGCCAAGAGGTTTCTGAGAACCATAGGAAAGTTTACTTCAGATGGCACTATTTTTTCATTCTCAGCATTCTATTTCCATTTTCAAAGCTAAGCTTAAATACCATTCTTCAAACAATACTATGTACGAACCATAGGTGAAAGCTGTAATTGAGGCTCTGTGTGGTGAATCTTGCTATAACTCGTTTAGAAATAATTTAAAACTGTCAAAGACCTGACTTGTTGCCAAGCCACTCTGTACTGATAATGCAATAATTTCATATAGAAATGAAGGGTGATTACTTTACATTATTAGCTTTAACCTGACAACAGCTATTCCATTAATTTATCATCTCAAGATTTCCATCTTTTATTTGCTCCAGAGAGTAAGTTTCCTATCTGAAGTGACAGCTAAGTTGATTACATGCCAGTTATAAAAATGAATTTACTTCTAGAAACCTCAGTACTTTTGGCATCTCCTTACTTCAGCATGAACCCATCGACAATTCCATTATTTATAAACATGCCATCCTTAATATGCACAAATTAGTCACTTTTTATGTAAAAAGGGGATTAAGTACTTTCCTGAATGATGCTACGTATGAAAAACATTTCTTCAGTAAACCAAGTGGCAGCATTGCTCACTGTTTTCCCTTCCCTTAAATTACATCACATTTAAGTAAAAAAAAAGGGATGCTTCTTTTTACAGAAAATAAGACTGAAGCTACATTATAGAGCATGTATGAATTAAGAACCTCAGTAGGCCGAAGAAATTTAATAACTGGATGGCACAGTGCAGAAAGACAGACAAAATAGCGATTCAACCAGCTGCGATCATACGATGCCTACCCAAAATGTGGGTTTCTACCCTGGCTCAGATCAGTGGGCTTCTGCGAGAAGGACAAGCAGGAGATTTTTCCTGCCTTCTCAGGCACTTCTGGAAACCAGTCTAACGCTGCATCAAAAGGCACCATGAAAACATCCTCTTCCTGCATCCAAGATGGTCCAGAAAATAAACTTTCTCAAAAATCCCTCTATGAACTCTTTTTTCCCCTTAACTTTACCTCACACTGTGAAATTATACAGTAAACCATTACCAGAAAAAGGTAAACCATGAACGTGACTTACAAGGTAGAGAGGGAATGCAGGGTATCGAAGGAGCCGGGTGCCACGGTGGTGATCTGGTTGTCATACAGCGAGAGCAGGCGAACTGAGCTCAGGCCTGTGAAACTGTCATTTCCCACACAGCTAACACGGTTGCTCCTCAGCATCCTGAGAAAGGAATGATCAGAATTTCTTAGCTCAGCCTGAGCAGGACCCGGAGCTGAAGAGGTGGCTGGAGCAGGGGCCGAGAGATATGACCCCAAAGGGATCGCTGCTGGTGGAGGAACCATGGTGCAGCATCCCTGTGCTGCCTGTCACCTCACTGAAGGGACTGAGTGCAGTGTGCATGGAGGCAACTGGAAAACAGAAAGGTGGGTCGGTAGGTTTCCCCCAAGCATTTGTTTGTTTGTTTGTATTTCAATACCAGAATTGGAAATTATAAGTTTAATTGGCAATGAATTAAATTGATTGAAATTCCCCAAATCAGAGAAACGTGGCAGCCCCCTCTTCATGTTTCCAAGCCTAATGACTCCAGAACTGCTGTTTACATAGACCACAAGGTTGTACCAGCTCGCCTCCTCCTGAGGCCCCTTTGACATGAATTTTCTTAGGAATCAAGTGAAATCAGGCTACCTTGACTCCTCCTCAGCGTGACTCCAAGATTTAGTAAAAAACTAAGCAAAAATCACCTATTCTCAAATCTCTCATATTTCTGCAAAACACATGAGCTTTGAAGTCTGCTGTTTTCTTATCTGTCCATCAATAAATGACTATTTTTCCCCATGCTCTTGTCTAAAAATAGCTGTTTCCAACAATTTTAGCAGTTTTAAATGCAAAGTTAGAAATTATAGGCCTGATTTATTAAAAATACCTAATGTCTATGGACAGCTGAAGCCCAAAAGACCATTTAATCTTGGCCCTGTTCTGCTGATCAGAAGGACTGGCTCTCTGAAGAAGTCCAAGAAGCTGTGGATTGTATAAACATCTTTTTTTGAGTGGAAAGAGCTAAACTGCCTTAATGGAAAGAATGAAATGAGTTCAAGCTATAGTGCTTTTAACTCCTCCCTTCACTGTTGAAATGACATTAAAATTACTTAGAGGAGAATCATTTCCCACATTTCAATATCTAGCAGAATAATTTTTTCCTCTAGCAAAATTCCCAGTAATGGTTGAGCTGAATTGAATCAGAGTCCATTGCGTAAAATGTGTAATTCCCGTGCAAAATTCTGTTACTTCAAAGCAGATGATTACTCCGATTTCCATTTCTGCAGTTGGATGTTTATCCATTCTCAACCGCTTCATCATTTTATAGGACTCATAATTTCTGTAGTCAAGTAACAACAATGAAGAATTTCAGCTACATTATATCCATAATTAATAATTAATGAATTCATTTTCTGTAAAATAGGGACAAAAACTACGATATGCTTGAATAATCCATAGTTAATCCTAAAAAATCACCATTTTTAGGACAGATAGAATATTACTTTAAAAAATACCTGGCAGAAAGAAAGAAGAAAACCACCCAAATAGTTACACTTACAGTGTTTTGAGACTTTCTAGTCCTTTGAACATTTTGTGTCGAACACTTTCCAAGCGGTTGCTAGTGAGCAACAGTTCATTCACACCAGAGGCTCCATCAAATGCTCCTTCTTCAATATCGGTAATCTTGTTATTGCTCAAGTTTCTATGGCACATTAACAGAAACAGAGAAAAACATGTTTTCTCTTTTTAAATACCCTAAATTAACTGTTAAATGCTGCAGACTGCATAGATTTCAAGATACTGAGTTATTGTGTACAAGCAACAAATGTATCGTTCAACTTCAAACCAATAAAAGCAAAATCCAATGCCCTGCTAACTAAAGAAGTAAAGATTTTTAAAGCAATCTTCGGAAGATGTTTCTAAATACATATATTTCTATATATGTATTACATATATACATGTATATGTATATATAATATATATTTCTACTAGCAGCCCATGCTGTTGCCACACAAGAACGTCTTTTCATTATTTTGAATCATGTCAATGACTTGTGTATTTTTTTCATGTCTCCAGTCCTTGTAGCATTATTAGACAATAACAAAATGATACTGTATGAGTACCAGCACAACTAATCACTCTGATTTCTTTATTTCCTGTTGGTAGACACAAATGTAAGAAAACAGTATAAACAACAACATATGTAAATGAAATGTGTGAATGTAAACAGTACATGAAATGTTAATCATTTATGACATTAGTTAAAAAGGAGGGTTTATAAGCAAGACAGTTCATTTATCTCTATTTCGCATGCAAAGCAGATCAAAATGTGGGAAAATGACCTAAAATACTGCCAAAATATTTAGCGCTTTTAGTTTTTAGTTGAAATATGGAAATTACATCCCAAATGGGTAATATCTGTACTATATATACAAAGGCATACATCCTGAACAACACATATTTTCTTAAAGATTTTTCATGTTATTCTTGCCTCCTTTTGTTTTGTTTGTTTCATATAACTATTTATACATATGACACAAGTACATAATGCTAAACAGTGTTATAAGACACTAGTGATTTTTAAAAAGCTCTTAGAAATGCTCCGAGACAACATAAAATGACATGAAGCTAAAAACTTTTTGTTTGATGGAATTAATGGCATCGGGAAGAAACCCAATCATTATTTGATGCAACTTGTAGAACAGCATTTTAATTGTTCAAATCAAGAAAGATACTATATGTCAGAAGAAAAATTCATACACTTGCCAGAATGAACTGGTGCCATGACCTAAGACATAGAAAACAAGGAGTTGCGACTTAATCTTGATCGCTGACTCCTCATCTCTAGCCTAGCTGTAATTTAACATACACTTTGCCTGTGATGAAGGATACAATCATCATTTTCATTTAATTTCACAGTGGAGCTTTTCAGTCTCCTGTAAGGTGCTGCACAAGACTGGAAGCAAAAAACTCATTATTTCTCATCTCAGCTGGCTTATCCGTGTCAACCTCCTAGTTTCCGAAAATCTTATTTGTTCCCAGTGTAACATGGATACTACTTCACCCACTTCACAGGGATATTTTAAGGATTAATGTTGCATAGCTAATCAATGATGCAGTGCATACACGTGCTTTATTACTGATGAACCATCAAATCAATTAAACGTTTAGGCCCAAATTTTTCAATGTCATCTGTGCAGAAAGACCTTTGCACCAATTTCAACCTCCAGAAGAAATATGAGCTCCACAAAAATACAGAATTCACTCATATTGGTGTCTCTAACATCACTACCTCACTGCTTTCCAGTCATGCTTAACTAGTCACTGTATTGTTCTCGAAACTGAAGAATGTTGTAACAACTGATAACTATATTACAAACATACGGAGTAGTATTATTAAAAATGTTAACTTTTCATTAACATTTTCTTAGTTTTGTTCCTTCTCAACAATCCAGATTTCAAAGGTTTTGGGAGTTCCAGCAGACAGATACACTGAGACTGATTAATATTCTTCCTTTTCTTTTTTTTGTCTTGAACACCTCCTCAGCGAAAAAAGCAGCAAACTAGCTTTAGATGACATGAAACATTTACTAAGCTACCTTTAGAGTCTGAAAATATGTAATTACTGACAGTATATGCCCTTTTCTCCCTTCTTCTTAACTGGGTATGTACTGTATAGCACCAGAACACTGCTGTGCCAGCATTCCTACTTTTTTTTTTTTAAGTATCTCAGCCCAATCCAAAGTGACAAGGTGTATTCCAATGGATAGGTTAAAAGCAAAGGTTTTTCTGTTTTGATTTGGTTTGTTTGGGTCTGGTTTTTGTTTTTAATCTTTGGTCTACTAACTAAAAAAACAAAAATCAGTAATAAGTATTTAACTAATTGTGATCACGAGAGCTGCCAGCAAGGATGTGGATAAAGCTAAGTTTAAGTAATACTATTGCTCCCCTTGAGACTTTGGTCACTAGTAATGTAGACTGCAAATGGTAGTAACTTGGTGACTACATTCAAAAAGCAGTGCATCATTTTCATTAATCTGATCTATTTTTACTTGCATTTTTCTTCACTTACTATTTAAGTTTGTATTTAATCCTGAAAAGATTTAGCACAGAGTCACTAAGTCTAACTAAATTATCTACCCTCAAATATGTCTTTTACATAAGCGAAAGAAAAGCTTTTCATAGATTTATTTTTAATAACATCTGCAACTGGTAAGATTATAAACTCCTCTTAGAACATGAACTGTGAACACGGATTTACATGGATGAGCTATCAAACCATTTTTTTCTCAGTCATTTAATTTTAATATTCCCCTCATATAATGACAGTTTAATGAAGCACAGAATCAAAGGCATATTTTGAATGTGCTGAAAGAGGCAAAATTGCCTGGTTAGGGAGTAGTACAGGAAGTGGCAAAAGACTACTGGAACTTTTTTGAGCAGCTTATACTGTGAGTTCCCTGTTGTGGCTGCACAACAGACCAGCTGGCTGGACACTGCAGTGAAGGTGCTGGAGCTACAAACCATGAGAAGTTGTTACTGCCAGTGACTAGCCCCACAGAGAAGAGCTGCCAACTCTGATCTACCTCAATGATTAATTTAAACCCATTCTTGATTTTTGATCAGAATTTACGGAATCTTTTTTTTGACAAGAACTAAGAAAGGTGGAGAAACACAGCAAGGAGCTATCTGAATAGACAAGGTCACTGAAATTGCACTTACATTTTACGCAGCTGAGGAAGTTTCTTAAAGATTCCAGTAGCTTCCAGGACTGAAAATTCATTGTTATTTAGTCGCCTACAAGAAATGAAATTAATTTCAGAAAAAAAAGACTCAGGCATTGGTACAAAATGTTCCACACTAAGTAAGCTTTTCAGACTGGTTTAACTGAATATTCAACTGGTAGCTGAAGAACAATTCCATATATACTGACATTTCTAATTATGGTAATTCCTGTGAATGAACATTCTCATTAGTTAAACTTAGGCATACATAAATCATACAGAATCAAAACCAGATTACAAAATATTGTACAACTAAAACTGCTGAGAAATATAAGAAGATGTTTTTAATTTTTCTTTCAAGGGAAGAAAAACAAAAAAGTAACTAAGGAAGGATTCCATGGCAACTTATAAATAAAAATCTTTAAGAAGTACATCTAAACCACTGAAGATTAGTTTACTGTTCTTTAAAGGATATCAGGTGGGGTCTGCCAGACATCTGGAGGTGCTCACAGAACACTGTTTATAAGAATGAAATAATTACCTTATGCTCAATGCTTCTTTTGAATAGGGACTGAAACACACTGCATAGGTCTTCCCAAGAATTTAAAAACACTCTTCTGATTATGGTTGATCTTCAGACCACTACTCCTAACACACATATATTGTGTAAGGAAGCATTAAATGCTGGTTTGTAACACTACAAGAAGGTATACAATGAACAAAAAATACTAGCTGGAAATTCCTGTTCAGGTATCAAGGCCATTTCAGCACAGTATGCCTTTAGCAGCTGCTAGGTTAGGGGACCATCTATATTTCCAAAAATATCTGCACTGACCCAGTATTCCCTATTTCCTCTCTTGAAAAGAAAACGGAAATTAGGAGTCTTAGATTCTTTGTATGTTTTAATGGAGTCATCTCATTAAGGGAGGGAGTCTGTCCAGCTTTTATTTAGAGATCTTAAATAGGAAGGAAAAGAGATGACTGACAAGATCACCACGAAATGAAATTCAGCATAATTCTAAACCCAGAATGCTTTTCAGAATTGCCTTATTGCAAGACAAGATTAAAAAACCCCTAGAAAATAAAAGCAAGCTGCTTGTTCATCCTTCCTTCCTGCTCATTCTCAATGATAGCCAGAAGGGAAATTAAGGTTGTAAATCTGAAGGTATGGTTGTACAACATGGATATCACAATAGTTTCAGCACAGAACCAAACTGAGAGAAGACAGGAAGAGGTTTTTGGATATACATAGAACATTTGTATACCACATTGAAGTAGAAGAAACAAGAATTTCAAAAGAAATTCACCTTTGAAAATCAGTTGGATGACTTAATGTGATTTTTAGTGGGACCATGTCAAATGAATTTTTGCACAGTGCCAATTAACAAAGTTACATCATCATTGTAAACAGCCTTTGTTCCCCTGTCCATCAACAATAGAAGCAGCAAGTGTTCTATAAATGTTGACATTTTCAAATACTTTTCAAGTGCTATATCATCTAGAATAACTTGTTTGTGAAAACATCTACTGATTCTAATAATTCTTCCTTGCTGTGCTCTACTGCAAATATTTCTAACCCTTCAACAAATTCAAACAATTTATTCCTCTCCTATTTGCAACAATCTTTTATATATTAAAAATAATTTACTTTGTCTGTCCTTCAAGTTTCCTTCACACAAATGCATTCTATCTTTTCAGTTTTTCCTTGTCTTCTCTTCTAGATGGTTCTTGTATTCCTAGAATTTTTTTACAAGTGATCCATATCCATCTTGAAAAGTGAAGTCCTTGACATAGTATTCCAGCTGGTATTTTACTATTTTTAGTTACCGTGAAACAATTATTTCATAAAACTTACGTACTACACTCCTGCACATATATCCCAAAATGAAATTTGTAGTAGTGCCCAATGGCACTTCTTCATCTTTAATATATATGGTAACACCAGCATAGCCTTTTCTCTTGAACTACTTGTTGGTTCTTCCTCAATCTTGTATTCGTGGCACTAATTAGTCCTACCTAATGTCATATGTAGAATTTGAATTTTTATTTTATTTAAACTAGTCTTAGTCTACTATAAATATTACAGAACAATTTTAAGAATTTTCCAAGTGTTATGAAGATTTTCAGTGTTTGAGAAGTTTCTCCATACTTCTCTATTATGGAAAAGAAGCATGGGTTGAATCACTGTATTGTGTTTGGTTACAACCGTAGCACAAATTGTATCTTCTCTCTAACTTTGCATATATGGTGATATCACAATTCATGCATCATCACTGAGGATAAATCCACAAATAACAGGACATCAAGATTTACAAATTATGGGATGTGGTCAGAGAATTGACCACATGGATCACATGGCATTACGATGGCTGGAGATTGCTGGCTTTAGATCTGGAGTTCTTAATTAATTGTGCAAGAAGTTTTTATTCTATCATCATGGACCACACACAGAGGAATCAAAATTATTACAGATGATTGGAAAATTAACAGATGTGGTGATATCTTCCTTCTGGATCTTAATATCATTATTTTCTGAGCCCAGTGCTCTTTATTGGTAAAAGCAATAATGATAGTTGTTACCTGTAAATCACTGGATCCTGAAAAGGATCTTAAAAACGCTTGTATCTATTTTATTCAAAGAAAGGTACTGAAATGTCATTCTCAAAACAAAAAAGTAAACAAAGAAGCATTTGATGATGATGTCTAAATATTCTGTTTCTCTGCTTTATTTGATGCTTTTTCCTGGTTTATTAACACAATGGGTAAGATATTTGCGTGTTTTGGTACAATAGCTGAACGCTTCTGGAAGGCTATGTACTGCAGTGATACTCATGCTTTCGAAAACTATCTTGTTAGGATGTGGTATTTTATCAGATATTGTACAATCGTTACAAAAATTGAACAAATAAGACTGAAACTGGGTTTTTTTAGTGTTTCTCCTGGGGACTCTAGTTTGAGTGATTTATCAAATGCTTCCTGAATTTTCCTATATATTAGAATGCTACCTGAAAAATATTTTATTTCTGGGATGAATTTACAGGCTCGTACTTTATCTCAAATACTTCAATGACAGATTAGACAGATCTTTCACTGGTTTTCTGGAAGACTGAGCAAGTGACAAAACAGAAACAGAACAGCACTTGGCTTATTTATAATTTTTTTAACCGTTTACAATTAGGTATGTATCTTGAACTGTATTATTATTTTCAGATTTTTTTTAAAACATCTACTCTGAAGAAATGGTTTTTTTGATGTTATATCATTACTGTTGCAATCTACACACTTCATACGCTAGCCAGGTCCTATGGCCAAATAAAGCAGGGAGGAGAAACTGATTAGGAAAAACACCTTCAAACTCCTTGTCAGAAAAGTTTCTTCTTGTTCACTGCCATTTGTTGAGCTGAAACACCAAAGTTGCCAGCTGTTGCGAGTACAGAAAGAAATTCTTTTCAAGAGGACATTTTAAAAGTAGATTTAAAAGAAGCATTACATACTTTCTTGAACTCAAGATTAGTGCAGTATTTTTCACTAGATCAATAAGCCCTAGAATGATAGAGACAACAGTAGTTCACTATCTTTAATTCATTAAATTGCACGTGGCATACCATATATTAGGATAGTGCCAATGAAGCTGCATTATATTCTTCTGTGAGACTATCAAAACATTTATTTTGTTGCCTATATCCCTCTGAGATAATGCCATGCCCCTGGGGATTCATGATACAAGTTCTCTTGGAAGTTACAGGATTCCTGTTATTTTCAAAACCTTCTGAGCTAAGGGATGAAAAGAAGCCACATTCTTTTCCTGCCCTCCTTTCTTCTCCCATGTCCTTGGACTTAAAAGTATCACAGCTCTACCAACAAACTATTTGAGAAACATAAATATTTGCCAGAGAAATTTAAAGAAATCTAGACATTTCCTCACTTTTGATCTTCATTTCCAAGCTGAGTCTCAGCTCCAAACAGCACCCTGCAGAGAATAACCTAGCCTTCCTCATCACTGTTAGAGAAGCATCAATGTCACTTGACTCTAACAAGTATCTTTACCTCAAATTCTGGGAGTAAAAGCAAAGAAAGGCTAACTAGCTGCTCCTCTCGTATATGTCAGTAAATGTCGTTAACTGGAAATCACAGAGTGGCCCTAGAACTAGACTGGGAAGTCCCAAGAGGAGCAACAAAGGCAGTGCATAAAAGACCAGGAATAACAGGAGGAAACAAGAGGAAGAGCTGTAACTCTTGCACCAGTGAGGCAAATACTAGAAGAGTGTATTTAACTACAGCGCTTGGATTTTTAGAGGAAGTGAAAAAAATGCAGAAATAATTTCTCAATCCCCTCTACCCTCCTTTTTATTACATCAAAAGACTTGATGAACGATCTGTACAGCTTATCAAGAAGAAGGTTGAATAGTGAGTTTGTTACATTTAAGACCATCTTACTTGGATAAAGTGCTGGATAGAAAAGGGCTCTTTAATGGCAAAAAATATAAAAGAAGCAGTGATGGAAACTGAAGAGAGGCAGATTCCATCTGGAAATAAAAGTTCCCATTTTAAAAGTTTTTAACAGAAGTGAAGGGAGATGATTGGTGGATTTTTAATCCACTGATACCTTCAAACAAGACTGGATGTTTTCTGAAAGAAGTGTTGTAACCAAACATGAATTATCTTTTAGTCAAACACAATTTTTTTGTTGACTGAAATTTGAGAGTTTAGGATACACAGCAGATGAGGCTTGATGATTTAATTGTTTCTTCTGAATTTAATATGTATGAATCATAATTATAGAAAGAAAACACTTGACAGTTTATCTTCCACATGTAAATAAATGAATATGAAAATCAACAATTAAAATACTAAATTAAGATTATTATTTCTTCAGAGCAGAGAGAATTAAACATGAATCCTGCTAAGAATCAAGACAATGCATGCTTGTCACTTCAACAGCTTTAGTTCTCATCTACTATGATTTTTACAACCATTAGTTTATGATCTCCTCCTACACTTTAACCTGCTATCCATTCCATCAGTTTTTATTCTTCAAGTAATTTTATGTCAAAATATTATAGCATAACATTATATACATTTGATGAGTTATTTTCTGTCATCTTGTGGACCTTCCTCCACACTAAAATCTTTTTTATTTTTCCCTCCTTTTTGGTTTTTCACCCTCTATATTGTATACCTAGCAAATCCTATATTATAAAATAAGTAAGTAATTAAAAAAAAAGTAGTATATATTTTTCCACTGAAATCTATCTCCCTTTCCCCAAGCCTGTGTATCAATTTTTCCTTCTCTGGCACAACTTTATGCACAGTAAAGAACAGTGTGAACATGGCCAAAAGCAGAGCTTTGCTTTTGCCACATATGCCACTTCTTCAGTTGACTTTGCCATCATTTCGGGTACAACTAGAATTACCATTCAGATTTGTAATTAGAACATCACTAAGTTCAACTCCTCCCAGCTCAGAGACAGACAAAAATCTCCACCTCTATTTACACAATATTGCAGTTTCAAATTCCTTTTCCTGTCCAGATAGGCCAAATCCTTAACCTGGTCTCTTTATTTCATACCTTCAGTGCTGTACTGTTGCTTTGACGCCAGCTGCAGACAGCTTATCTTCTAAGAGATGTGCCATACTGTTGCTTGTCTCACCCTTGTGGGTCAAAACTTGATCACAGAACTCCTGTCTCCACATCTCTGTCACTGCTTTACTACATCAAATCAAAGTCCCTCTGTTTTTTCCCCTCAACATTCTGCCTTGTTCTTTACATTAAATCTCCTAGGAAAACCAGCTATTTCCTCCTGCCTTTGCTCTGCCAATGATGGCCACTTTCATCTCCTGCCTTTCTGCTGATCCTTCAAGCATCTCTGCATTCCCTTTCATACTACGCTTTGAGCATGGGAAAACCTTGTAAAGCTGTCTTAATTTTATCTTTCAATCCCTCCTTGAAGATCACTTCAGTTGTAATGCCTACAAATCATTCCCATATGGCACTTATTAAGCAAGTAATAATCTGTGACTTCTTTTCTGCTCATCTCTGTTCATTTTATTATTATCTCATCTTCTTAACCCAACTCCGTCTTGTTTGCCTGCTTTATCTTCCTCTGGTCTCCTGCCTGACGCACATAATGTGTGCTTTGCGTAAGAAGAATCAGCTCTGTTTTATTAAACACCTAGATAGCACTTTTTAAGACAGACCTCTGGTTACCGGATGTCCTACTTGCTCTTATAGTTAAAATAAAAAGCAAAAGAAACCCCACTACCTTTCAAAAAAATCCAAGTGGGTAGCTCATGTATTGGAGAACTAGAAACATAGAATAGTTACCTTATTTATCTATCATAAGTTTTTAAGGCTACATGGTACTGAAATGATGCATAAATGATTTTTATTAGTATCTAGTCCTTTGAGGAACACCACAGAGATTACATTTAATTTTTCTTGTTCAAAAAACATAAAGCTGTGGTTTTATATTTGAAAATTTTAGTTAGCTTTTCCATAAGCAAATAATGTTTTACTATGGGTTCAACTTACAACTCTGCTGTGTACTGGGGGATGTGATCAGGAATTTTGCTGAGTTTCTGATTGGAGCAGTCCACTGTGGTCCCTTCACAGCGACATTTCTCAGGGCAAGCCAAATCTGCAAAGCAGTCTCCACTTAATTTGGATCTGTAATCTTCAGTGCCTGTGGAAGAGTCAAGTCAAAATACAGATACTGAGTCAATAAAGTATAAGATTTGCTTCTTGTGAGAAGGTTGAAAAGATGTCTGCAATGCAGATAATGGGTGGGCAACTTGGGAAATGTATGATAAACTTTGTGATACTGAACAGACACAAGGGCTTCAAGAGAGGGTTAAATATAGGGTCTTAAGATATGCTGGAAAAAGAAACTGTGACCAACTTCACATAACAGGATAACATTAACTTGAGCTTTTCACAGCTGTACTTTCTGCTGATTATGTTGTCAGCCAATCTAGTCTTGTTTATAGCTAATCACACAAATGCCACTGATTCTTTTAGAATTTATTTTCTTTCTCTGTATCAAGAATAAATAGATCCTGAATGCCACCTTTTCTCTTTCTCTTGTTACAAATTTGTATTATTGACCGGACTTCATTAACCTCTGTGATTTTTTTATAGTCCCGATACTCCACATCATCTCAAACACGTAAGATTGAAAGCCCTGTTTTCAGCTTTAATTTTAAAAATGTGTGATCCTGACTTAAGCCTCAGCAGCTTGCCATGCTGTAGAAAGCTGCGTGACGTTCCATGGTGCTTGACAGAACCATGTTTTACTCATACCTCACAACCACATGGTTAGATCAAGCACAACAGAAAATCTCGCTACATTATCAGAACTGCATCCATTAGGCCAAGGATAAGAGCAAGGGAAAAGAGGAAGGAGTAGGTATAAGTTACAGAAGCAATTGAAGTTTAATACTTGCTTACATGACATGGCATTCTTATTACTGAATGTCCAGTGCCACAGTAACAGTATTACTGTCACGGATTAAATAAAAAGTAGAAAAAAAAAAAAAAAAAAAAAAAAAGAACCACATTGAAAGTTTCCTCCACCATTTCCCAGAGTCAGTCAAAGAAAACGTCCTAAACATATCAGGAGAAAACATCCAGTAAGGAACTGAGGGTGGGTGACAAAGAAAACAAAGAGAAGCTGAAAGGACCTGTGGGTTCTTCTGGACAAAGGTGAAAAGACTGAGACTAGTAGAAGGTGCATCAGGGCTGGGAGGTACACTGTGATTTAGCTCAGACACTGAACTTTACTTACAGCCAAAATGGTGAACTCCTGCAAAAGTAAAGATAGCCAAGAAGGAAAGAAAGACAGAGTAATCCCAATTAAGACAAAAACATGAACTAAGCTCTCATGTTCTCTACTCAGCTTCAGTTTGATTAGATGATGTTGCTAAGGGGTACTGTCTTCAGCAGAGAGAAAGAATAATTCATTTTAAGTGGCATTAAAAAAATGAAGAAAAGATTGGGGTTAATTACAGATTTCCTATAGGATGATAATGCCTCCCATGCATTACTCTTCACTCTTTTGAACGTATTCTTTAAAAGCTGCTCCCTTGAACATATATACATGCTATGCCACTTAAAACCTTAATAAACCAAAGAAACAGAGGAGAAACAGATTCCTTGGGGGAGGGAAAAAACCCACCCCAACAGTCATTGCATATTATGTTATCTAGCATTTGTAAATGTCTAAGTAACATGTATGATATAACTACATGGAATATTTCTATGTGCTAGCAGAAAAATGATATTTTTTCAAATTAGTAATTTAATACTTATATAACCTTTAGTCTTCCAAATTACTGTAATGAAATTCTACTCAGACCTCCTAGTGTCTGCAGATCAAGATCTCCCAATGACATATTTAAAACAAACATAAAAAATATTTATGTTTTCAAAGAAATGCTAACATTTTTTCAGTTTTTACTGAAGTGTAAAAAGGTGGCTTTAGCACTTTTTAATACCCAAAATGCAATCTCCTCCTGTGTCCAGGGTAAATCACTGTTACCAGTTAAAAGTAGACAACTAAAATATTTAGGGGCAAGGTCTTCAAGAACTAAAAGAATTTTATGCAGTGTCTCCCTGATAACCTAACAGAAAGCACAGAAGCAAGTCTGCAGCACTTTTTGATTAATTTAATTATTTTTCTTCTTTTTTTTTTTCAAGAATAGCATTTTTTAAAGGGTACGTATACAAACCTAAACTGCATGTGTGGCCATATTATAAACAGGCTGTGAAGACATTTGCTGGCAAGAAAACACTTCTAACTCAGAGACAAAAGTTGTGCTGGCAAGGTTGAGTAGAAGTCACTCTGTGGCAGGAATACAGCTGTTCTACTCGTTAAGGAACTGAGTGGTACTACAGGTTTGAGAAATTGAATCCCCCTCTGTTTTATGCTGCTTTAAAACACATTTTCGCGGCTGCCAATGCTGACAAATTGCTGCCTTATTTTGTGTTTCATTTTGTCTTCTCTTCATATTCAAACCAACATATTAGTATGAGGGCATGAAGAACTTCACGATTGCTGCAAATTTAAGTGATACATCACACAGCATTCGGAGAAGAGCTGTTAAACACACCAGCTTAAAAGACAAAGACTAAGATCAATCAATAAATCAGTACTTCAAACACTGCAGAATGACAATATACCTGTAGTACTTGAAAGAACAAGTGCACTGGTGTCATAATCAATTACTGTAGATATTTTTCTAGATATTAAACTGTGGTAGAAAACCCTGCTTGCAAATCACATACTGTAATTCATCAATAGCTTCATTATGCCCTTGTTTATTTTGCCAATCAATCATTTATAATCTGTTAGGAACATAATGCAAGTGCATCATTGTTTTATTTTCTATTAAGAAATCAGTGCACACACCTGACAAGCAAGGTAAAATAAAGAAAGAAACATATTTCAAAGAGCTAGGGCCAACATCAGTAAATCTTTTGTGAAAATATCATAGACTTCTTGTAGCTTAAAGCAGTGTGTAAATTGCTGTTTCACCCCAACTCTAAAGTCGCATTTTCTTTAATGGAAAGCATTTCTGATTCATCATATGCATGTGACCACAGAATGCCTTTAATGAAGAATATCAGCTTTCTTTTCCAAGCATTCCTCTGTGATTTCGCAAACACAAGGAGGGTAAGCAAGCAGTAGCTGCAGCCAGTGGAGAGCATGAAAGCAAGGCAAGAAAATGTTCATTTGTAAAACATTTATTTTTTTAAAGTTGTACTAGCTCTTTGATGGTAGTGTGGTTTCCTGTGTTTAAAAGCAGCTCAGGAGCTACATTTTAAAAACAGTAGTGGCAGAAAGGCAAAGTACAAGGTAAGTAAAGGTGTCAATTGAAATATGAACTAGCAGGTGCAACCTTCTAAGTAATTTAAGTAGAGGTATAATTTTGGTAGGTTGTGTGCAAATTTGTGAGACAAAAAAAAGTAAATGGAGCTGCATGCTAAGCTCTTATATTCAGAAAACAGAACTACTAGTAATCTACAAAGGAAAACTATTTCTAGCTACAGGTATTGACTAATGTTAATACACATGCATCAGTCTCCTAAAAGCTATAACAAACTTTGCTTTTTGGGGAGAAAGGGAGAGAGTATCTGCAGTTAGTCAATCCTACTGCAGAGCCAAACCTACCTGGAATGAAATACTGTTCTTTAGCTAAATAAAGAGAAAAAAAATAGAAGATGCACCTGAATGTCAGCAAGCAAAGAATGAGTTTTATTAGATTAAGTATGGACTACAGTTAACTACAGATAATTAAGTGAAAAAATGTGTATTTGCAATGAGAGCTGATAAACAACAAAGTGTGAATAGTCATAAATGTATCCGGAACATGGATAACCAACAGTTCTCATCTGGTATTTGCACTTGAGACTGAATAAATTGTAGAATGTGAAATGCACCTGGAACAGCTGGATACCATATGACAAAAGTTAGGATTTAGAGAAATGTAAGTAGGAAATGGAATAAGATTAGAAAAAGAAAACAGTAAATTTCAGTATGAGGTAAGCTCCCTGTATAAAATGAATATGTCATGTTTCCATATTTAGCTAGAAATTTTTAGATCTTTCACAAACTCCAGAGCCTTGTGGAAATTTTACACAATGATTTATGTTGGTGATACTTGTAGTGAATAACTTCAGCATTTCATGCTGAAGCATTATATATTGCATTTCTTTTGTTAAGATTTAATGCTACTCAGAAATAGTGCCAAATGTGTTAACTATAGTGATGTTCCATGATCCAATAGTCTACAACTTCCATGATATCCCCCTTCAGTCAAAGAATTAAAAAAGATTCTGCAATGTTTAATAATTCCATACAGAGCCAGCTGCCTTCATTAGAACTTCTATGACCACTGTCGTTGCCAATAAAAGAAAAATAGCAGCTGACTAAGAAAGTTACCTGAGCAGCGGAATTTCTTGCTTTTGATCTGGCCGATCCTTTTGTTTGCCAGACGGCGGGGACTGGTGCAACGGGCACCACTGGTCTCAATGGGGTTTGTATGAAGATAATCTGCCAGCCACTTCAGATGACAGTCACAGATAAATGGGTTCTGAGCCAAATGCCTTTCATGAAGAAAAAAATGGTAATTTCACACATTGTTTCCCTTTGGTCTCAGCAGTTCCCGATATTTTTAGTACACTGTAGAATATGAACTCACACTAAAGCCAACCATAAACAAGAGCATACATACAAGGTCTGAATCGCACGTAGGGGTGAGAAGGTGCCTTTGGCAATGGTCTGAAGCTTGTTGTCATACAAAGAAAGAAGATTCAAGTTGTGCAGATCTTGAAAAGCATCAACTCTCAGGCAATTGATCTTGTTGGCATTCAATAATCTGTTCAATGGAAGACAATTATAAAATTGAAAGAATTTGCTCAGTGTTGCTGCAGCTTCAGCGTTCTTCACAGATAATTCTTGTTCCGCATTTGTAACCAGAACAAGAAATATAGTAACAAATAGTAATTGACAGTGACATAAGGGATTTCAGTGAACTGAAATACCTTACTTAAGTGCTCTGAAATTATTTCTAAATATTTGCACCTTGGAGTGGAAATGTGTGGGTTCGTTCAGCTAAAATCAGATTTCTGGTATGTAGTGGTAGAACGTGTGTGGGGGGTATTTGTCTGTGCAAAGAAACAAGCTTAAAAAATCAAGTATCTGCAAGGAAAACTAGTTCCTTTTGCCAAACAAATAAACAAACAAAAAAGGAACGGAACACTGTGTTCATTAGCTGGAAGAGATGTGCAGTGGCACTTTTAATTATATGTTACTAATCAGCATGCTGCCGCATTAACAGAGTTGTAGTAAAAACTGGTGGCATGGAATATATCCAAATCTGTCTCGGATCCTTTTTCCTCTCCATCTTCAAAGGGAACCTTTTCTTCCCTGTACCTCCCGGACTTCTAAAGTTAAAACAAACAAGCCAATCTAAACCAACTCCTCCATGCTTTTGAAGAGGAAAAAAAATAATGTCATTCAACTAGATGCATTTTTAAAACCAAGTATTTTTTATTTTTTTCCCCACATCCAGCCAGAAATGGAATGGAATAGTGGATTTGGAAACCAATGCTCTGATAAACAGTTTCACCACACAATTAGAAATTTACTTAGACTGAAATGTATTGTCTATGCAAAGTACATCAAGCCATGGATATTTTTTTAATACAGAATAAACAGAAGTTCAGAGATGTCTCTTTTTTTTTATTTACAAATTCTGAAATATGTTTTTGTAATTAAAATCTCTTTACAGAAAACCAGGAATGCATATCCCCCCACTATACTAGTTTGTGACTAAAAAAAATCAAAATGTAAACCTCTAGGTGGTGCTAGAACTTGCATTTTCTTTGTATTTACTTACTGTTTCGCCATCTTCAATGTGCTGTTAATTCACATTTTTCCAATAGCTATACTATGAAGTCTGGACATGAAATACTTCTAATCATTATTTAAGAAGAAACTTAAAATCAACAAGTCAGTTATTCGGGGACAATTTCTTCCAAAACCACCACTGTTGTGTTGTGGCCCATTTCACAAATTTCTTTTATGTAGTACAACTAGTGCCCAGCCTCTTCTGCTACATATTGACAATACATGATAAACATATCACCATGACATTCTTCTTTATTGCAAGGATTAAATCTAAATAGAAATGGTTTGTAAGATTACACATGGAAATTTCCAAAGTCTTAAACACAATAGCAGCTGGAGTTCACAGACTCAAAGAATTGTAGAGGAGAGTGTCAGAAAACATTAAAAGTCATCAATGAAACTGTACTACAACTCTGTTCTTCCATGGGTACAACTAGAAATACAATTACATAGCATTTCCACTACATATTTTCTCTGTATAAAACACACAAATATTCCTTCTGTGGGTCCCCCACAACTTTATACATATTTGCCATTTACAGGGCAAGACAGTGTCATATCTTACGTGTTTTGTCCTTATAAATTCAACAAAAGGGAATAGTTTCATTTTAATCATTTTAGGCTGAGACATTAACTGAGATGATAGGATAAAATTGGTGGATGAATGGCACGCTGGCCTACAACAGCCTTGACTCCTTTGGCTTCAACATAATTTGTTTTTATTATACTCTGATATTACATACAGGATTTCCTGCCAGTTCTTCCCCAGGCATCTATCTCTCATCAAGTTTACCCTTCTGAGTTATCCCAAAGTAGAATAAATATTAAAAAAAATACTCACAGCAATTGCAGAGAAAAGAGTCCTTCAAACAGGCCTTTTGGAAGTTCTGTGATTTTATTGCCATAGAGGACACTGTACCAGGAAATAATAAAGCAAACAAAGCTGCCATTACGAAAGGCATATACTACGGAATTTTGACTTTCCATTTTCCTGAAGGGAATTTAACAGCAACAACTTTATACTTGCAAGATCCTTGTGGTCCTGTGAGGTAGCAGGATCATGCATTTTCCCAAAAGGTGTGTTGCCCAAAGAGCTCTCTTTAGAATCAGCACCTCACTGTTTACAGCCTTACCAAAGGACCTTGGTAAGTGCATTTGCTGTTTGTAGGAACAACTAACTAGGGAATAAAGGAAATGTTTGATTTTGTTCAACTCTTTGTCATGAACATATTTATTAAAAAAAAAGACATTTTCAGTGTCCAGCTGTGTTACAATATCCAATTAACACTCTCACATTCTGAAATTATTTTTACCAAGTTCAGAATTGATCAAATTTAAATGAAAATTCTACAGAGTGCCAAAAATCCAAAATAATTTCACTATAAGAATATGAGGAATTTGCTTCTGTTTTTACATGTCAAACAGATACCTACAGAGAATTGAGTGAACGTAAGCCCTGGAACGCATCTGGAGCTGCTTCAGAGATCTGGTTATTGCTCAGGTCACTGAAATAAATGAAATTTGATTCAATTAATCTATTTTCAAAATAGCAAACCTGAAAATAATATGTAATTAGAATTAGGCATGGAAGGGAGAGACAAATTAAAATATTTATGTGAAATACTGCCAAAGAATTTTAATAAAAAACCCACTAAAATTGCCAGTACGCTGAAACAAAATGCATGGTTTAAAATAGACCTTTCAAATGCTTGAGGAAAGAAAAAAAAAGACAAAAAGATTTACTTTTCTTAATTGCTTAAGTACATTTTATAAAGAATTCTCTGCTATAGCCACAGGACTATACAGCCTCAAAGGTATTCTGAAATAACAGTGGTTTATCCCCATTAATTTATTTTTTTAATAGAATGTTCACTACAGTAACATATTGCTTCTATGCAGAACCATATTAAATAATTTCAATACTTGGTAAAAAACAATTATTACTGATGTGACAAAGATGCTATATGGTCTTAATAATCAGGCTGCTATATCAGTTAATCTTCCGGCAGTCAAACTTTCTTAAATGCTCACACATTGATTGCAGTTCCTCTGTATGACCTTGACTTGTTTTTTATTTTTATATATCCATATATATGTGTGTGTGTGTGTGTGTACATATATATGAAAATTAAAAAATAAATTTAAATTATTGGGTACGTACATTCTTCGAAGCTTTTTATATGGTGAGAAAGCTCCAGGAGGTATGACCTTGATTGAATTTTGTTCTAACCGTCTGCAAAAGAACAGCAACAACATAAAAATACAAAACCCAAGCCCAACAGCAATCTAAAGCCATAACAACCTAGAAGGGATAGACTTTAACAAAGAAGGCTATTTTTTGCTTTCTTTTTCAGTATAATTTTTATTGTGAGAAACAAGGTCATTTCACTTCAGTTTTCATTAAAAAAAAATCAGGTTTTGTCTGTAAAACTAAACCTTTTAACCTACAGAGCGTAATGTTGTAAATTAAGACCCCAATCTTGATTTTGTTTCTAAAGAAAATGTATTTTCAGAGCACACAGGATTTTTGTAAAATTTAAGCAAGAATTGTCATTAAAAAATTCAAATTTGTGTTGGTGTTGACTCCCAATGTATTATTCACATACGGCAATTTTTACAGTAAGTTTTATTTAGAAATGGCTAAAGACTTCTGCAAGTTAATCATTCAAGTATGCAAACCATAAGAATGGGGAGAGGAATATCTCTATAGAACAAATAACATATGTTGCTACCTACAGTAAGGCAAATGCCTTATTTTTAAGCACACACACATGATTTCTTTAGATACAGTACGTAACACATTTTTCTTTAAGATATAACACTAGGATTGCACAGCCACACTTCCAACTTCTTCTAACTAAGATTGTAGTTTATGTTACTGGCTGTGTTTGCTTTGTATGTATAGTGACTGTGACTGAAACTTGCCATACTGCAAAGTGTGAATTTGCTGATGGAAACAGTTTTCCAAGAATTTTTGAACTTCCAGAGCTCTGCATTTGAGAAATCTATGCTGATATCTATGGCCCACTTGCCAACAAGTCAAAACAGATTCAGCAATAAGCACATTTAAAATAGAAGCTACTTCTTCACGCATCACAGTATTTCATGGTTATGGCATCGCAAAAATTTCTATTATGTAGACGTAAGGAATGAAACTATTTATACTAAAAGGTACAGCAGGAAAAGGCAGTCTTATTCAAACGTATATACCATACTGATCTAACAAGCTTTCTATTTCCCTCTTTGATGCACAGGTATCAACTCTTACTGTGATCTAAGTACAGAAAGACAATGCCAAAAAACTATTTCAATTCTGTAGAATTTACTGCACTATTTTAAATCACTCCAACGTTGACTCTCAATCTAAGGTCAAAAAGCCTTTTAAAATCTAGATGCAGGAATATTAGCCTATTTTTTTCCTTTTACCCTTGTCCTATTAACTCTGTTCTGTTTCACTTTTGCTCTGATAGACAGACGTACGAGTTGCTGCGTGTGCGGTGTAACTAAAAAACTCAGATATTGACTCTGAGCAAGCCTTTCCAAGAAACAATTCTTACAACAGTTACTTCTTTTTGTAAAGTTTCTCCAGAGATCACAGTACAGCTGAACTAAAGAAAGATTTTTTTTTTACCGCTTTCATGAAGTTTTGTTCAGATGGAGATATTTAGACATTTAATACTCAAAATCTCTTAAGTCTGACCATGCTTTACCTTAACATTTGTTCTTGAATGGCTTATAAAGACATCAAGAAAAAAAAAAGCCTCAAAAAAATCTTCCTGACACATAGAAAATCTCACTTCATTGGAGCTGTTTTAGACAGGGTTCATATTTTAAAAAAGTCCTTAACTAGGAAAATGTTGCCACCTCGCTACAGTTTTCAGGTATATTTTAAACACTGCAGGGAATCCCATGGCACAAGACTGTTAACTTTTTCCATAAACACGATACACTTTTACATACTTTCTTCGCCTCTGCTGAGCCTTTTGGACCCATGAAACACATTTTGCATCGGACTGGGAGTACTGACCAGGTGATAATGGATCAAGGTCACTCTTCTCCAGTGCACTTGAGTAGATGCAGAAGGCAAACATCTAAGTAAAAACTTGCTTAAGTTAAAGGTCAACACCAAGTTAGACCAAACACAAGTATTTTCTGTTTTTACACTACATTTTCAGTTTAGTTTCCCCGGAAAATAAAGATGGCTTATCATCCCCAGAAAATAAAGATGCTTTTCATCTGGATAGTTTTCTACTCAGGTGGCAAGGTCAAAGAGAGGTAAAACTTTCAGATAATAAATTTCTAAAAATTTCTGTATTTTAGCAACGGGAAGGAGTTGAGAAACCAAATTAACCCAGCCATGAAGGGAATGGCAGCCATCCATCCATTCCTGTTACACACTCTATTTGGCAGCAACCAACTGCCTCACCACCAGGGATAGCGTGACCAGACATTTATCAGGTGTGTAGCTTTGAAAACCAGCCAAAAAATCTCTTGCACAGGGAAACACACAGGGCATATGCAGAGGACTGGAGAGGGGAGGGAGCAGTAAAAGGGACAGGGAAGGATTAGGCCATATTACAGCAGAGGACTTGAGTTGCTGGAGGGAGAGACACTGGGGAAAATGCTTACGTGTATACGGGAAAGACAGACATTGCCGTGGCAATGCTCCCACAAGGCTGTCACAAGCCTCATTTATAAATGCTGCTTACTAGCCCATGATGTAACCTAGTGCTGGAGGGCTCCAGTTTACATTCACCTGTCTTTAAACATATAAAGCTCCTACTTAACTAAGCACGGTATGGAGTATTACTTGAGAAAGACAAGGTCTGATGTTAAATTAAGACACAAAGTATTTTCCAGTTTACTCTTTTAGTTTAAAAATATATTAGTTCTACAAACTGAAGTAACTTGCAGGATAAATGTATGCCATTTTTTATGAGAAGATGGAATAGCAGATTTAATTTACTGTTGTCTAATTTGTCCACAAATTAGATGATAGGTCCAAAACCTGAAGAAGTCCTACTACAGTATATTTCTGAAAGCTAATTTTCTAGCAGTTCTAATAGAGTGAACTACCAATTCACTGGTGGATATGTAAAATGAACTCCATGACAACTTTACCTAACACTTCCTTTTAGTGAGAAATTTACAGTCTAATAGACAGACTGTGCAGTACTGGGATAAATCTACAAGCTCTTCTGGACAGAGGATTTGTTATAGTAGGATCATCTAAGTATGTCTTTCCTTAACTCACACCAACATGTATGCGCTTAAACACATCACATTTTAGAAAATGAGATCAGTATAAGAAAGGAAAAATAAGATTATATAAATATAGAAGAAAAATCCTTTATACTCCACTTTGTCTGTAAAGAAAGTAGATCAAATCCACCTTTTCAAGCTTTGTTATCCTCTAATCTTCTGCTTTATCTTCCTAGAATCAGCTGAATTTGAGAGAGTGCAAATTTGCATCCACTATTCCAGAGAAAATCTAATTAGATATATTCCAGGGTCACAAAACACAGATAGACTAATATCTAAAGGAAATTTGCATACTACTGATAGACCCCATAGTAATTAAAAACTGTCCTTTATATTAATTCCTCATGTTAAATGAAACATTTTTAATTCTGGAATAAGATGGGTTGTAGTTATCTATTACCTAAAAAAGCAGCTATTAAGTGCTCGCCAAATGACATGGGCAGAAGGACCATTATATTAGAGAAGAACAAAAAGCTAATATCCGTATTTTTCCATGAAACTTGTATTAAATTTTGTGCATAACATCTCCTTTCAAAGTCATCCTAGAAGTCATTCTTTTTTATGAAGGATCATCTTTGTATCGTAAACAGTACCTTGGTGGTTTCTTTTTCAAAAGCCACAATATTAGCAGCATATTTAATAAGATAAGAGAATGGAGGAAGACAGTTAAGTACATGCTTCATCAAAGCTTGCACTGCCTCATGTATAAGGAGTACTCTGCCCATCCCCACACAAACGCTAATTAATGCTCTTAGTATTAAGTCTCTTGCTCCTTTTAGTGCTTCACTTCAAAGAAGTCCTGTATCAATGCATAAGTGTTTTACTGTCTTTTAACACTGCCAAATTGGTTGAAATCTTTTTTTGAACACTATTCCCTAATCTCTCCTATCTAGGAAACGTACTGTGAACATTTCTGTTTCTAAATCTTTGCCCCCCCTCCCCGTGCTTATCGCTGCAGACACCGTAATGTACAACCACCTACTACTCTAAGAAACAAAGGTGCTTCTGCAGTTCTGACTTCCAACCTAATCAAATCAAATCAAAGTAGGTCCCCAGCCAGTAGCCAGATTCTTCCCACCCGGTCCCCAGAGTGCCCTGTGACATGTAAATCACTTGACACTTTCCAGGAGGATGCTGTTCTCTGCTATAAGCCTGCAAGCACACCATTACTGATTACTACTTCCGCACTTACAGAGACAGACAACATGCTTATTTATACTGACACTTTTAAACTAGCTTATTTTCCCACTATAAAAAGTCATTTCTATGAAAGACTTCTGCATCAGGAAAGAGGGCAGACTGGGAATGAAGAACACCCTGTTCTCTACAGAATCATTTTTATTTTAAATCATGCAGATGGGGTGCAATATACTAAGCCTGCTCAGTATAGAAAGGTAAAAAATACCGCACAGAGATGTGCTGCACCTAAAGGCATGTTAAGGGGTCAGAGGTACATAAATGTATTTTATGTATTTCTTAAAAATGTATTTCCTAACAATAAAACAAAACTTCTTCCTTAGGAAAACACAAATTTATGTGTATGGAGCAGCAAATTAGCCATGTATTTTATAATTAAACTATCAGCTTAAGTAAATTCACTCAAAAGTGGTTTTAGCAGTTAATTAATCTATACTTTTAATTCCAGCATCTACTCATTTACAAAAAGTCTGCAAGAAGCTTGTCAAGAAACCCCCAAAGAATTTTTACTACAGAGAAGAAAGTGTAAGCTGTGCAATGAGTCTGATGTATCGCACAGATGCTGATTATACATGGTAATAAAATTGACAGCTCTTCTCTGCATTTTCCCCATCTGCTTTTAAAGTAAATGGCAAAAACAGCTGTCAGAAAACAGAAAATAGATTTCAGTGATGGGATTCAGTGCAGCTCCTGAATCTGAAGAACTGCAGTACACAGCCAACACATCTCTCATCATATGCAACATCTGCCAGATTATTGGTGGGTTTTTTGTTGTTTGTTTTTAAAATAGGGAAACAGTAATGGTCTCCCTTTGCTACAGGAATCCTTCAGGCTATTAAACAAAGTACCTTTTTTTCTTTCTCAACGACTGCACCTCCAGAGTGCTTATATCCACTAAATGTCAATTCTAACTTTAGCAGCAAAAGAATTCTGTTGAAATCTGTGATATCATCCATGTCTAACAAAACAAAAGATGTATTTGGAATGACTACATTACTTGCACTTTAGAATTTCAGGCTTTAATTCTGTGTATTAATAAATCTGGTTGACAGTTTCCTAAATGTTTGCATATAAAGAATCACTGTCAATGTTGCTCTAAAGCTTGCCAAACTGTTAACATCCAGTCTAATTGTTCTATCAAATATTTCCTCAGGGGATTGATCGTAAATGACAGACGACTTCTTAGTCTGCATTACATCAAAAAAGTAACAAGAATTGTCATTCTAAAGCCATTAAACAATTCATCACATTTACTGAAAAGCAAGTCCCAAACCTGTATTCGTTTAATTTTTCATCACAGAAAGGGTCATCTCATGCTCTGAACCCTACAGCACCATTAATGATGATAGGCTTTACATTCCTCAATTGTTACAGATTCAGGTTGTAGGCAAAATGCACCACTTCTTAAAGAACTATTTGCTCAGTACTTTGGCATCTGTCAGAGTGCAGCTCCAGTGCAATTAGCCTGAGTCACCTAGAGTCAAGTTAAAGCCTGTCTAATTAGCCTATTTTTGATGAGAGTTGTTATACTAAAAAACTACTTGAGCTATTCAGAGTAACTGTATTAAGTTCACAAAAATAGATGTAATCCTACTACAGTCTTGGCTCATCACAAGCAGTGACTTGTCAACCTGTTCTCATTGAGCAGAAACACTAGCTTGAGAATTGCATCGCCATGCGAGACAGCCAGGGTGGCAGGAGTCCTTACTACCTGTTAAACACCACACAGACCTACACCATAAATTTGCCACAAAAATGTCAATGAGGTTTTTTAACTGAGAATGCTTTTCGTAAGTGGTTGCTGCTTACTGGACCGGCTGCTTACTGGACCACGTATTTAGCAACATGTAAATAACAAAGAAAGCATTTCATTGATGATGAAGCACAAAATAGTGAAAAGTCAGTATCCATAGTTTCTTTTACAGTAACTTCACTCACATCATTGCTGAGAAAAAGTTATCAGTAGTGAAGAGCCATATGTGAAAATAAAATCTAAGAGTAACAACACCTTTGGAGTGTGGCACAGCTGTCAGAGATCTATGAGGGTTTTGCTGGAAGAGCTAGATGGGCCTTCTCCAGCTTCCCTTCATGCTGTATAAAATATTCATTTATTCCATGCTTGAGTTATTTTCTTTCCCTTGGCAGAGTACAGAGAGGTCCCTCAAGGTGCCTCTTCCACTTCAATACCCACCAGAAACTTGCACAAAACCCTCAGAGGTGGAAAAGCGTTCATTCTGGCCAGTACCTACTTCCAGCGCCTCTGGACATCAGCACTGGTTTCACGTTTCTTGTCTAGTTGCGTTCTGTGTCTCTATGTCCTCCTGACTGTTGAAATTATCCCTTGTCCTCTGAACTTAATTTTTAAGAGAGGACACCAGGGTATGAAGAAACGCAAAGATGTGAACAAATGCAGCACAGAACGCATGCTAATAAAGAACAGATTAAATATTCTACCTACAAAAATCACTGTGTCTGACAACTAACATAAGAATGTTAAAAAAAAAAAAGCATAAAGCCACATGATTGACCAGTAATTTTCAGATTAGGAAGATATTTGAGTAAGAACATGACAAATCATTTCTCTTGTGTCTGTTAAGCAGACAGGATTAGCTATCAAATTAGCAAAATCATC